GTTGACTTTGCAGATAGTTTGGTGTAACCAACCATCTGCCACAGTCATTTTAAAGGATCACATCTGTAGGAAATCATTGGCATTGACATTTAAAATCATTATTATTAAAGTTAAAAATAAATGGAGTTTTCTTGCGAGCTTGGAATACATTTATCCTGATCCGATCCTATAATGGTTTCAGTAATTGATTTGCTGTTTGACATTGCTGTGGGATTTCTAGGAGGTTGTTCTGGAGACTTAGTTTGAAGAAAACTGTTTAAAAAAGTCGATGAATATAAGTAATATAGAGACATACGCAGTAGGAGACACTGTATGCTGCTTCGGGAGTGTACGGATTGTTTCTTTCTCAATGAGCTGGAAGCTCGTGTTTCACCGGTCACAAGCAGTCCCTATAGAGACCGTACTGACTGATGTGTGAGTGTGTGTTTGGGTGTGGGCAGAGCTGGGGTGTCTGAAATGCAAATCACTTTCAGCTGTCACTGTGTTCCACTGAGCTCTGCCACACACTCACAAACACACACACACACACACACACACACACACACACACACACACACACACATAAACTCACAGAGGCAGCACAAGAGCTGCCAACTGGGAAGTTGGATTTTTTCTTTCCACTCTTGCTTGTTTCCATTCATATGTTTTATTTATGAGCTTCAAACTACTTCTAAAACTTCAAACTAACTTAGGAGTATCATTTTAATTATAGTGATAATTAAGAATCAAATTGACTTTAGAACATAATTAAAGCTCATTCATTGTATTTTGCTCTTGATAAACGTGACAGCCCAGTTCCTAAAGTGTAAGTGTAATGTAATACAGACTCATACATATCACCAGTCTTGTTTTCAATAGGTGTTACTTTATATTTAAGCCTGTAAATCCCTCCAGTTTATTAGCAGGTGTTACTTGAAGCCGCCTCACTGTAAGGACAGTATGGCTATTTTCTCCTCAGTGTGTAATACTTTCCTAATTTTGTTTTCCTGTACTGACTAAAAAAGGATGTCTTCCTGTGTGGTATTTAAATGGCAGCGCTTTCCTCGACTCCCATATGTGTTGCCCTACCCTCCCATGATTCATCATCAACTAGTGAGCACACTAGTGAAATGTCACAGAAATAACATTCAAATGATGTGGGCTGCCACCAGCTGCTCTTAAATAATCTCCAAAAAAAGGTGTAGCTCAAGATATTGTAAGAAAGGGAATTTGTTTTGGGAAAGACAACTAAACACACGGGAAGAGTCGGGACAATGGGTTGGATTTTGGGGGGGAAAAAAGAGCCGCTGGGCAGACGTAACAACAGCGTGACAGATGGCACGGACCGAAAACCATTTCACTCCCAGGAGGACAGCGCTCCTTGAATGGTTAGCACAGCAGGTATAAGCACACTACACCCCCAGATCCCTGCAGAGCCCATCATCATTTAAAATGATTTACTAGCACATACAAAAAGCTACAGCAGCCTGAACAGTGTCCAAGCAGATCTATCACATCATTCACATTCACAAAAATGACACAGCCACTTATATGATGTTTGTCCAGATCTGTCGTAGTAAAGTCAGATACTGTAAATACGACCCAGAAATGCATTTTAACATGTACGTGTCAAACAATGATTACTGTGTTAGCATTCACAAAACTACAGCGGCCATGAAAGTCTGGGGACTGCCCATTGTTCTGATGGGCCATTATTTTCCGCTGCTCCAAAGGTCAGTTTTCCCGAAAATATACACTCTCCCTGGAGTTTTTTGGCCTTAATATCTATAGTTTGTGTGTATGTGTACGAATGCACGAAGTCAGTTGACCTTTGTCATCATGATAAGGATAATAAATACATGGTTAACATTTAGAAACAATCACAGTTTGGTTAGGTTTGGGCATCAAAACTACTTGGTTAGGTTTAAGAAAAGATCATAGTTTGGGTTAAAATAATCACGTTACTTCTGTCAGTTAAGTTATGTAAGTTAGTTGGTCATACCTGTTTGTTGTCAGAATAACGTCTGACAAGTGGACTTTTGGTCCAGTGGGGCATCATTCTGACTGTCGGAATAATTGGCTTTCAGAACAATGGTTAACCAATACACCATTACACTACACTAATAGTTTTTACACCCTCTTCTTCCAGCTTTAATTTCATTCTCCCAGCCTTTTAGCTGTAATCTCAGTGTTCAGTACTTTCTGTTCTGCTGTTATTACAGACTGACTGAACCAGCCACAACCCCTCGATTCGCCCATGGACTCGCCTCTTTTGTCGAGTCGTGACTAGCCTGTGATGGTCTAGGACTTGAGGGAGATGGTGTTTGTAAAAGCCAGCTAAATATTGAATAAACAACGATATTAGATCATCCCTGTCAAGACATATGTTGGGGACAGCTCTGTGGAAAGGCTGCATTTTCAGTTACTGGCGTTGTTCCAGATGTCATGGGGCTTTTGAAGGAGGTTTTCTTCTGAAACAGGAACCTGGAAGTCTTGGCTTGACTCTGGCTCTCTATACGTCAGTCCTTTCAGTGGGCAGCTGGTGAGCATGGTTTCATGCCTGTGTCGCTTTTTCATCACTCTTGTTACGCCTTAATGGGACTCACATTCTCTCTGGCCAGCTGACCTTATTTTCTTGTACAAAACAAAAATTATGTTTTAACCAGTTTTTTTCTCTCTCATTCCTACACTGTTGGAAGTCAGTGTGTTTGTGTGTGTGTGTGTGTGTGTGTGTGTGTGTGTGTGTGTGTGTGTGTGTGTGCGTGTGTGCGTGTGAATCTTGACTATCTCTGTTACAGTATGTGGTTGTATTGTCTGTAGTGGGTGGAAGTGCAGTACTGTCCCTTTTGAAAAACTTGGAAGAACATTTTGTTTATAAAAATTCTCCTCACACACTCACACTCTTACAAGCCAGTATTACAAGCCACTATAGAGCTTTTTATATTAATCTAATGATAATTGTTGCCCCAGCCTTCCATTTCCAACTGGCTCTGATTAGGGATGTGCTTCAGGTAAAGGGTCATAGTTCAGTAAGGCATCTGCAGATAGCAGTTTCAAAGGATTGTGGGACATAAATATCAGCCAGATCCACGAGAACTAATCTGTGACTGAAGATTTATTATCATGTGCGTGAGAGCTGGGGCAACATGGGAAGAGGGGAGGGAGAAAGAAAAGATTAGGACATTGCTTCTTATTGTTGGTGTGTTGATGAATTTATTTAGCCAGCACATCACATTATGTCATTAACAACAGTAGTTACATGTCTTCTGGCTCACCTCTCTTGTGTGTCTGGTTTCCCTTTTCACTGTCTACTGATTTTCTGTCAATTCCAATAGATGCACTGTTTTGAGCACATGCACCAAACATGTGACCTTGTGTGTATGTGTGTGTGTATGTGTTTCAGTGTGTGTAACAGTGCAGTCGTGCTGCAGTATATCAGTGTAGCCTCTGTAATCTCTCCCCCTCCAGCATTACCCCTGCTGCTTCTGGACAGCTTCACTCCACACCACCGTAACCTACTGATACATGTAATATATGCAGATATATTTAGCTAATATTAATGCTGATACTCGTGCTGATATTTAGTATATAATGCAGTTATGTCTTCATGATTATTTTTAGGTACATTCCTCAGGTCTAAACTGGTAGCTGGGGGTCGAGTGGTCGTTATTTTTTTCTTATTCAAATTTTTTTATCTTGTTTACAGTGATGCAATAAAAGCAGGTAAAGATAATTAGAGGTTCTGCTTATTGTTTCCTACAGTACACTCAGTTACACAAAGTACCTAACACGTGTCAGTACTGTGCGATTAATGACTTTGTAAGTGAAGGTGTCAGTCATGACCCTGAGCGACCTGGTCGGCTCCAGCTCTGCTAGACTCGGAGCTAAAAAAAAAGTTTTGGCATCGGAACGTCTGGGACCTTTTTAAGACTTCACATTTCAGTTGTCACATGCTTGAACTAATCAAGAGGTTAGTGGTGTAATAATCCATACGCTGAAGTGTAGCCCATTGCATGAAATATTGGATGTTATTCATTAATTGGCTAATGTTGACATTTGGTATCGGGCTAGAAAGGAACACTTTCCATTTTTCTAAATCATTTCAGCAGTTCAAATGAGATCAGACTTAGATGCAAATACGCTGGCTACATTAGCTACAGGAATAAATAGCTATAGGAATAAAGAGTAAGAGTAATTTATACACGTGAACATGAACATGAGGGTACATAAAAAGAGCAATAGAGCAGACTGTTAAAGAAAAGTAGGATTTTAAAATCTAAATAGTAAAAAATGGATTTGATATTTTATGTCAAAAATAAAAATGATAAAAACTAATAAAACAATAGAAGGGCCAAGTTATATGCAAGATACCTGGTGCAAGGTTACTTACCTTTTACAATATGTAAAGTGTGTAATTTGTAAGTGTGAGATCACCCGATTAAGCCCTCATCTCAAGCCTTACAATAATTAAAATGTTCCTGTGATTAAACTTTAATGGCAATAGTAACATGTAATATTTAGTATATTTAGTATTTTTAGAAACACAATTTGTACAAGATATTTATATTTATGTTTTTGTCAGATTTTTGACAACAGCTACTACAGCAACAGGGTGATACATAAACTTTTAATCGCTGATAGTGACATTTGGATTAAAGCTGCTCATGTTAGTGTTCACATTTTTATCACAATTTGAAGAATTACACTTGAGGCTGATGGGTAAAATCCTCCCACTGGACTCAATTTTTTTCTATGGTCACACATCTGACTTAATTAATCTAACAATAAAAATAGAAGCACCTCCATCATATTAGAGGTGGAAGCTGTAGACTGGCCCAATATCAGTTCAATATCATGGTCTACTCCCACTAACAGGCATGAAAAGTGTCCAGATTCTCTTTCTTATCTCCCATCATCCTCTACTCCTCACCCTCTCTCCCTCGCTCGTATTTACTGAAAGCCGACACCCTCCCTCCCCTCATCCCCTCACCGACACACACTCTTATATTTGTATTTCCGACCCTTACGCGCACACACACTCTGACATTCAGACATTTGAAACACACGCTCACCTACAAAGACACCACTTTCTCCATCTGACACTACTAATTATCTATCTATATATCAAAAACACACATGCGCACACACGCACACACACACACTTGTGTGTGTGTTTTCGGTCAGTGGTTTTCCAATGAAGCGTTTCTTTGGGCTGGTGTTGGAGCGATTGGTTTTTTTGTCTAAGAACCTCAAACCGAGTAAATGCAGGAAACAGAAGAAGAAGAAGCTGAAAACCAGGGAAACCAAAGCATCGGTGAGTGAGAGACAGAAGTGCTTTACTTTATTGGACTCGGATATATCACTAATAGATTGGTATTTGCATTAGTGTGGGTTTTGTTTTCTTATTTAGAAATACTTTTACCAAGACGACTGATCAAATGAACACTACAGTGGCATTATAGTGGCACTATATGTTAGGAAACCACAGATTGGGGACGAGTTTACTGTTGTTTAGTGTCAGGCTGGGGCAGAGGGAACCAGGTTGGGGTTTCAGTTCGGAGGGTGTACACCAACCGCTGCCACCCTCCTACAATTAACACATTGTGTTGAAATACCCTGGAGCAACTAATAAAGTGAGTATTGATGTGTTTTTGCAGCAGACTGACTAGGCAGTTTGTCACTGTTGCCTGCATACAGTCTCACTATCTCTTTCTCCCTCTCCAATGCCTAAAATAGCCAGAGTCACTCCATTCACCACCAGAGGCAATTTAGGAATCACAGCTCAATCTGCCTTTGTGTGTGTGTGTGTGTGTGTGTGTCTGCCTGTGTGTGTGTGTGTGTGTGTGTGCGTGTGATTTTTTTGTGAGTCCTGCCTACTGATAGACAGAAGGAAGTTGTCCTCGCTGTGTGTTCATCGTGTTCAAACTTAAAAATGATCAAAGTTTTATTTGGTTTTTCCCATATATTTAGTTCTACAGACATGATGGAAAACCTATGTGCTGGTAATGGTAGAGTAGCCATCCAACTGTACTATAAGGTTCAGTACTTTGGTAAATCTGACCTGCTTTGACCTATGTAGCCTGGTCTATCTATGGAGGGTTTTCAGGTGATACACTGTACTCTGAGTGTCCATACAGAAAGTACACAGTAGGTGTAAACCGCCACTGTGGACTTCTATGACAAGTGTGCTACAAATGTCTGCTGTGAAAAAATACATATATATATATGTTTAATTAACATGTTTTTGACAGGAAACCCATCATTTCAGTTCCCAGTGAGGAACTATAACTAGTATCATTGGTAACATCTGTGTTTACCCTACTATTTGCTGTCCAAATGGCTGCTGTGAAAAATGTCTAGTCTAAACTCCTTTAATGATTGCCAACAGTTGGAAACAGTACAGTAATAAATTAGGACAGGTACAAAAGAATTTTATCTACACCTGCACAACACATTTCAGTTTAGTACAAAAGGTAAACTGCAGCAATGGAAAGTGCCCACATGTTGAAGTGTCCTTGAGCAACATACTGAACCGCAAAATGCTTCCAGTGATTAGGCCAGTGCCTTGCATGATAGCTCTGCTGCTATTGGTGTATGAGTGTGTGCATGCGTGAATGAGAGGCAAAATGTCAAGTGCTTTGGGTAAAAGGCCGTAGAAATGCAATCCATTTACCATTTACCAATGAAATGAAACAAAGTCAGAGGTTGCTCGCCCAATTCAGTGGTTTGAGTCTTTGCTTTTTGCCATTGATCTTTTCTCTCCAATGCAAAAGTCTTCTGTGTTTGTGTGTTACAGAGAATAAAACCACAGTAGGGGTAGTACGTTTGCTTGATTGTCGAGGATGCTACCAGAGATGTGTTTGTTTTGCTCTCAGTCAGTGATACCCAATATGTTGAACACAGCTGTTGGGTAGAAGATTAACTTTGGTCACTAAAATTAGTGTCTCTATTGAGGTTAGGATAAAGAATGTTGCTTTTGTGCTGGTTTCTCCCAAGAGAGGACACAAAAAATAGGTTCTTGTGTCACAGTAACCTGCATTTGGAAAATGACAAATGACTTCTTAATTTTGCTGAATGAACCTGCACTCATGCAACAACAACCTTTCTTCTTATTGTTGCACATTTGCTTAGTATTCAGCTATTGGTTATAATTGAACAACTGATACTGCAGTTGACGCCCATGGCGGTGCCAGATATAAGAGCATTTGTGGCGTAACTGCACCATGCCAAATGACAGTGTGAGTGTGAGTGTGTGTGTGGGTTTGCTGCATTAATAGGGGATATTTTTGATGGTGTTTTTAGGGAATTATGACTATTTTGTTGATGAGAAAAAACACTCTGGATGATTTGATTACATAAAACAAACTTTCATCTCAGCCAGCAGTCTTTCAGTGTGACAAATGATGTGTTTTACCATGTGAAACACAAACATTACAGCCCTTGTGAGGCCACGATTAGCCTACTTTACATGGTTTGCAGACTGGTAAAACCCCTACTGTGTTTGCATGTGTGTTTGTACATGCGTGTTTGTGTGTGTCTAATCCAAGCTTTAGGGAATGTGTCCCTGCTCAGTCTGTCTGCATGCAGCCAGAGATTACTTCACATGATCTGGGACAGGTGTATAGAATACTGTGGATTAGTGTACTGTATATATTTTGAGTGTGTGTGTGTGTGTGGACAGTAGACAGTCTAGTGTGTGTGTGTGTGTGTGTGTGTGTGTGTGTGTGTGTGTGTGTGAGAGAGAGAGAGAGAGAGAGAGAGAGAGAGAGAGAGAGAGAGAGAGAGAGAGAGAGAGAGAGACGGGGGGAGAAACATTGAGATTAAAAGTGTATCTGTATCTGTGTGTGTGCCTCGGTTGGTCTGTGTGTTCCTATCCCAGATTACCCTAAATTTATCTTTCAACTGCCGACTGACTATCTGACATGACATCACCAGTGACATTGCCAGTGACATCACTGGCGATAACACAGGATGTCCTTTTCCGATTACTATTTTAATCTTTTGGCTGCAGAATTCGGAGGATTTGATAACAAAATGATTTCAGATCATCAGGATCATTACTGCCCAGCTGATACTTTGAAGTCATGTATTGCATTTTTAAGATATGTTAAACCACACTAAAAGCTTTCTCGTTACAATATCGGCAATATTGGACTATATTTTACTCTATTAGTCTAAACTAAACTAACTAAAGACTTTGATAAACTTGATTTCGGAATCTTTTGGCCTAAATATGGAGCAATAGGATAAATTAAATTTGGATTTTTATCACCTTTAGACTAGGTTAAATGTATACAAGCAGTTATTGATGATGATCTGTATCGTGTTACATGCTGCTGTCTTCATTAGCTGTTGAACAAAGACTGCTTCTTTTCCCTTCCCAGAGATCTCATTAGCCTTCTTATCGCTTGACATGAACATATTATAGCTTTAACATTTAATTAGATCAAATTCACATCTGCAGCTCAGGTTTCTATGTTGTTATCCAGGCCAAGAAAGCTGTAAACCTGGTGCATTTAAATGGGATGTTCCTGATCGGATTTTATGCAGCTTCTCTTGGTCTGTGTGGATCAGAGACACTCTGCATTCACACTCTGTTAATGTATCGAAGTGTATCTTCAGCTGTCTGCAGAAGTAGTTTATTTGAGCCGATCCGTATCATTGATTGATTGATTGATTGATTGATTGATTGATTAACCAATTGTTAGCTAAGTTAATTAATAATTAATTAATTAGTCATATGTTAGCCCAGTCAGTAATCAGTGAGAAATATAGTCCAAAATCCATGGTGTCCATATAGGTTGCTGCAGGAATGAGTCCCTAAACCTGGAAATGAGTTCACCTTTTAGCACCTCTAGCGCCTCAAAATCAATGGGTTTTTTGAACGTGTTTTGTCCTACAAAATATGACATCCATAAATATTTAAGCTTTTACAAGTCTTTAAAAAGTGTGGTGGTGTAATTTGTTTATAGCCTATAGTTTAGCGTTTTACTGAATGTATTTAGACTTCAAAACTCATAAAAATGGGGTTAATTTGTAAACATTAATATTTTCTGCAATATTCAAAAAACAATTACTGAGGGAACCAGGGCAATGCTAACTGGTGGGTTTGCACACAAAAATACATCATCCCTGCAGCATTCTGTTCCCAGAATGGTAAGTTGGTAAATGTTAAAAATGTTAAGACATTTTATGACATATAACATGTTTGTTTCTATGGTTACAGGTGATCCTGACGGTTTACCTCAATGACACCCAGCAGATGCTAACTGAGGTCCCAGTTACTCCAGCAACCAGAGTGGTTGACGTGGTCGAATATTGCAAAGAAGCTGGCGAGGGAGAGTGTCACCTAGCGGAAGTATGGAATGGGCATGGTGAGTCCATCCATCCATCCATCCATCCAGCCATCCATCCATATAAGGATAATTTAATTTAAAAAATTAAAACAAGGCAATGATAAAATCTGAGCCAAGACAGGAATAATGTTGAGAGGTAAAGAAAGATAATCAAAAGGGGGTAAATGTCAATCTATGCAGATGATGAACTACTATATACAAATAAATCACATGGTTGTCCATGAGCATCCATCTTGTAGCATCAGCTCTCTACAGTATCAGCTCATCTGAAGCAGTATTTCATTACCTCGAGAAAACAAACTTTGCTATCTAGAGATAATCAACCCTTTATCACGAGAAAACGAAGGGCAGTTTCCACTTATTACTTCTAATTTTCAGGAGGAATGATATGCGTCGTGCCAGTTCATATTTATTTTGATACTGACCAAATTGATCTAGCAGTCAGGAAAAGGTTCATGAAAAGAATCTCTCATTTAGTAGATCTCAATCTTCCCCTGATATATTTAATCAGTATTGACCCACATTACCAGGAAATTAGTGATCTTGAGAAAATCAAAAGTTGTTTTCTCTTGATAAATGATCTCGTTATCTCAAGAAATCTGGCATTTTGTTTTCTCAAGACCACAAGTTAATTTATCTATTTTCTCGAGGTAACAAAAGGCTAATTGCAAGCACGTCTCAGCTTCGGTAGCATTTCTGTACACACATGCACACTCATAATTCATCACCATATCCAACACTAATATAATTACTTTTTAAACCTTTGATCATTAGAGTATTTACATGATTATAATCTGGGATTATATGACAGGATAATCAAAGTGTAACTCTGACCTAGATTGTTTGCTTTGAAGCTAATTGTAAACAAAGTCAGACCTATATCACGGCTAGAGCTTGTGAAATCAATAAAGTGCTAAGCGCCTACTGTATAGTGTATGCCATTGTAAACTAGAATGGACCAGTCCATCACATGCAGACACTCAGATGTACTGTGCCCAATAAAGCTTGGCCTACATTCATTCAATCATAGCCATTGAAGTAGTGATCCACATAACAACACTGTGTGTTTGTGTAGCGCTGTGGTGTGACCGAGCGGTCAGACAGGCTATAAATGGCTCTAATACTATACTGTTTCTTAGAGGGTGACTCTGTGAGGCGGGACATAATAAATGGTGTTGTGTCAAAGTGTTGCTGTGTGACAAGAGGCCATACCTCAAGGCCACAGCTGGCCTCACTGCTGTGTGTGTGTGTGGCCACTAAGCCATTGTGTGTGTGTATTATTAAAGCTATGGATTGATGTGTTTTGCCGTGATAATATTGTTGCTGGGTTTTTGAAAACACTAGAATGCCCAGATCTTTCCTTCTTTTCAGTTTTTGTGATTTATAATTTATGAGTTTGGGTTGTAGTTGTAATATAATAATAATACGAATACACTTTTAGCTAAAACAAAGCATTTCACACTGAGACTATGTTGTTACTCTTTAGTCTTTGCATTAAAGGGCATCATTTCAACCATAGCAGGATAGCAGGTTTCCAAAATTAGCTTTAGGTTTTTGTGGGTTGGTAGCTTGTGTTTACATTTTTAGTAGATAGAAGTCTTTAAGAATAGGAAAATAAACAACATTTTAACATCCAGTTTCCTTGATAATTCCTTAATTTCTCCTTTAAAGCTTTAAAGCTATTGATTACTCTGAGTGACATATTCAAACCCAAGACCAAAACCAGGATAGTTTTTTATGGCTGCAGTCATCCATCCCGTAGAAAGATCCTCGTTATCTTGTGCATCTTTTTATACACATTTTCACAAAATTCAGCTCGACACATTTGGCATCTTTTGAAGCTTTGGGATCTACACTAGACTACACTGTGTTTGACTGCACAGCATGAGTTTGTAATGACTGACCAACTGGCAGGATAGTGAGAGTTAATACAAACAGAAACATTATAGTTTTACTAGATAATATAACTTTAGCCAGCATAAGATGGTAAATAAGAGGGAATATCAAACTTGTTTTATTTCAGTCAGAAAACATTAAATAGGATTCCTTAATAGTGTAATTAATGGTAATTGTTGTATATGATGATCTCATTTATGAATCATCTCTTGGCTCCTCTGGATTAATCTCAAAAAGGCTCACTCTGCAAACGCCTGGCTTACGTCTTCTCACCCTCTGTCTCTCCTCAGAGCGAGTTCTCCCTCTGGAGTTGTTATTGTTGGATCTCCTCCAGCAGTGGGGAGCCAGGAGGCCGGAGGTCAGCTTCTACCTCAGACACTGCCCCTCCGGGACACAAGGTACAGCAAAACAAACACACATACCGGTTGATTCCTTAAACGAGTTGGAATAATGCTGACTGACAAGAACAGCTTTCAGGTAGATTAAATTTTGTTTTCAGTGTTGAGCATCAGTCACTCACATTCAGAAAACACACAAACTCGGAGAGAGTGTGTGTGTGTGCGTGAGGTTTAGAGGAGATGTCAGGGGCTCGGTCAGTAATTAGCCAGATAAGATGATTAGAGTTACATAACATGGACAGGGCAAACGTGCAGAGGAGGGGGGACAGAGACAAGGACAGAAAAATGTTCGGACTGCTGCAGAAAGGTCAGATGATTTTCTGCCAAAATAGCTTTAGAGAATGAATTTGTGAAATCAGCTCATCAACATTAAAAATATGTATATATTGATTCAGCATGCAGAATAAAACAGACATGGCCAATGGTTTTCTTTTCTTTGTTGAGCAAAGAAAGAACAAATGATTATGTAATATTTGTGCATGTTAGTGCCCGAAGAGAACAACAGCAGGGTTTCTGCTGTAATAGTGTCACCGGACTGTAGCACTGGTATGTTTTTGTGTCTGCGTGTGCTCCCTGCAGGGACAGGACAACCCTCACCACCTGCTGGTGCATTCCCTTTTCTCCCCCATTCATGAAAAACATAATTATCATTCATTAGAATCTCATTATCATTGTAAGCTTGTGAACTGTGAAGTGTATTCTGAATAATAAATTAATCATAACACTTTTTTAGCCAGATTTTTTGTTTTTCAGTCATAGAGGCCTTTAAGGTTTTCTCATCCGTGTGTTTGGATTGTTTATTATAATATCTGACCTTTAGTATCTGTATCTAAACCTTTATTTAAACCATTTATGCTACAGCTGTGCTCCTTCCTGCCAAATGAGCAGAATTTAGGGCAAGTTTCCATCCAGTCACAGTTCATATGTCAGCAGGTCTGTAATAGGTTTAGCAGCAGGGTAACATCTAGAGTAAGTTATTAATCATATTGGCACCTGCTGTGGACAGCAGAGACTGCTCCCCCCCCTGTTTCCAGCACCAGAATGGGATGAGTTTTGATGTGAATGATTAACATATGACACACAATCTGTCAGTACATCAGTGCGTGCTTATGAGGGGCTGGCTGGTTGATGCCAACTTGTGTTTGGCTCTTCACCTGTGATCATAAAAAAGCTTCTTAAACTAGCCAACTGCTCTCCAGGGACCAGAGCAACACATTACGCCAATGTAGTATCTCCTCCCAGGCTGATTTAACATCATCTACCCTCTGTGGCTTATTGAAGGTGCCTGTTTGAGTTTACACCTCCCACTCAAGGGCATTGCCTTCCTCTCAGAAATATACACTGCTCTCCTATATCACCAAATAATCAGCCCTGTAACGGAGAATGATATGTTCTTATTGTGATGGAATGGAGGTAACTGATTAGTCATATAAGTGAATACAGGCCTATCACAACTAATGATGATATACTTCTCCATAGATGTCCATAAATGTCCATAAATTACTCATTAACAGTATTTTAACTGTCTCTGTTAAATCTCCAGTATTTAAATAACTTTTCAGTTAAATGTAATTACTGTTTTACGGTCTTTTAAGATGCTATTTTATCTGCTCATTTGGATGTTAAGAACTGCATTGACTGCTCTATTGACTGGAGGTGAAACTTGGAGTGGGCCAGGATTAACCCAGACTGAACCTGTCTGGTCTTAGTAGAATTAATACCACTGATGCTATTTATAGACTGTACACAGAGAGAGATGGAGCAAGGTATAGAAAAGATGGGGTGGGGGATCTCGCGTGTTTTACTCATAATTTAACGGGTTTTCTCATTATCCAAATTGCATTTCTTTAAAATTGTCTTTTAGATGTTTTTAATCTTTTAGCCTGTGCAGAGTCAGTCTTATTGCAACACCTTGTCCTCTGTGTTTCATTGCTGTTGCAGCAGGCAAGTTGCCAACAACGTCTCCTGCATCCTTAGTGGGAATTAAAAAAAAGACTGAATGTAAATAAGGACAGTGCTAAGGACACATAAGAATAATAACGCTCACAGTTGAAACACGGAATACATTGTATGTATATGTATGATGAAAATATCAAAATATATATGACAGCAAATGAAACATTGTAAAAGGTATCAAGATATGTGCAATACATTAACAATGTATGTCTTATGGAAGGGAAAGTGAATTTTCACACCCTAAGGTCAATGTTTCCTGTCCATTTATCTTTGAGATAAGGCACACGCGCAGTCTGATGGTGGTTGTGTATGTACGTGTGTGTCAGTCACATGTTCAGCAGTCTACCAGGCCACAAGACTCAACTCACCCCTGTCCATTTCTTTTTTATTTTTTTATTTCAATATATCTGCTCAGATTTCTTTTCATTCTTCATTTATATGCAGGAAGTCAGCAGCCTTTGGAGCAGAGCTGGACCACAGAAGGAACAGAGAGTGCTAATGACAGGGTAGGTGGGCACACACACACACACACACACACACACACACACACACACACACACACACACACACACACTGGGGATGGGCTAAGGGCAGGTTGTGTTATGCATCTCCAACTAGGTAAATCTCAAACTTCCAGGCTCTGTTGTGCATGTAAAGGTCTCTACACTACAGCACATAAAAATATTGTTTATACTGTAGCTTCAGTTGGTCTGTGTTACATATATATATACACACAGCTGCAGATACAAATAATCTTTGAAAGAACGCTCTAACATTTTGGGAAATGTGCTTATTCGCTTTCTCTCTTAGATAAGAAAACCAATATCAGTTTCACACCTTAATCTACAGCAAGGAGAAGGTTTGCTTAGCTTAGCATTAACATTGAAAACTGGGGGAAGAAGCTTCTGTCCAAACATGAAAAAAAAACACCCGCCTTCAAAATGGCCGCCTGTAAATCAGCAGCCTGTTGTTTTTACTGCCTGGTTTTTGTGTGGATGAAACAAACAAGATATAACGTGTAAGTTAGTGAGCTTTAGAGCTGCTGGAAGATGGATTTTGGAGAGAGCTAGGCTAGCTGTTTCCTGTTTTCCAAAATATCCAGATATTCTTTTAATATATTTGTATGTATAGTTGTTATATTTGGTAGACTTCAAATATAGTAATGCAAGTTTAATGGAACAGACTAGTATTCTTCAACTCATTTTAGTTCACATATTGACAATACAATGTGTGTAGCCTATAACTGTGTGTGGTCTAGCGAATTAGCCCACGGATTAGTGACAGTGATGATTATAGTTGCCTACCAGTAAGAACCTTGTGAAAACACACACACACACACACACACACACACACACACACACATAGTATATACTCTATACATACTCTATATACACAATTTGCCAAATATATTTTCAAAGACAGAGAAAAAGAGAGAAAATGGGAATTAGCTTTTTGTCACTAGCCGGACTAATTGCCGTTGGGTAGCCATGTTTTGTTTTGCTAGGTTGCTTTATCCTGTTATCTTTCCTACAAAATAATGACTCATATAGTAAAAAGAGCAGCTGACCTCATGCTAGCAGCTTTTTATTTGTCACTAACAGCTATTTTCAGCTGTCAACTATTGAATTTAACACCAGACTAGACGCTAGCTTTGTTCATGTTGGTTAGGCCTCGGTTAGCCAGTCACCAACCATGTTTGTGCATGTGTGGAAGTATGTGCGTATCTGTGTTGGTCGGTCTGTTGGTTAGTCAGCCAGTCTCTGTGTGTGTGTGTGTGTGTGTGTGTGTGTGTGTGTGTGTGCGCGTGGTCAGTCAGTGAAGGTAGGATTAGCTTGGTCCCATGACATAACCGGGCTAAGAGGATTGTTAGCCAGCCAAACAGCTCCTCCTCCTCCTCCCTCTTCTCTTCCCCTCACCTCGCTCACTCCTTCACAGTCGTCTTGAGGTATCCGTCTTTCTTCGACCTCCACCTTTTTACGCTCGGTTTCCGAGAAAAAACAAAGAGTTTGAGGCAAGACAGCAGCGTGGGGGTGAGTTCTGGGAAATGTGTTTCTTCTCTGTGGGTGTGCGTATGAGTGTGTGAATGTACAAGTGACCGTGTCTTTTGTGAAGCTCAAAAAAAAAGTGTGTTTGCTTTACACTTTCTACCCACCTTAGACTTTCTTTTGCCTTCTCCTCACATCAGATTGTCATACATAATAGAACAACTGAGGAACTGGGAAGAGAAGTAAATGTAGAGGTGACTTTGAAATGTGTTTTCTGTGTGTAAGTGTGCTTTACTTTCTTACCCCTTTAAGTTGTTCTCTGACTTTGTTCATGATCCCAACTACACACACACACACACTCACACACAGAGAGAGAGAAACTGCCTGACAAGCAGTTCGTCTGTGTGTCAGGGTGGGACTGTTGGCCATGTGTCTCTCTGTGTCAGTGTGTGTTTACGGTCAGTGCGGTCTACGTCTGGTGAAAGCTGGATGCCGTGTGCAGGCAAGGTGTGGCTTCTTTTGGCCATGTGTGTTTGGCCTTGACAGTGTTATTTTGTTTATGTGTGTGTGTGTGTGTGTGTGTGTGTGTGTGATGTGTATGTTAGGGATGTAGCTGCATGACTTCAAGTCGGGGTGTGACTCTGGGCTCTATATAATCATTTCCAAAAAGCTCTCTCACAGCCGTGCACACACTGACACACCCACCAGATGATGTTTCTCCCCACAGAATGATGTAAACATGACAGTGCTGACAGTTGTGTGTGTGAGGGAGAGAGAATGAGAATTTGTTTTTAGTGTAAAGCAGTTTTGGGGTTTGTTATTCATCCCTCGTCTCACTGCTAATGTCATTAATCACTGCAGCTAAATCTAATTTCGATATTACTTCAACAACCCTGCAAACATCAGGATAAGTCAGCCTCCCCTCAGGAAACAAGACTGTGTTGATGTCATTCTTTAATTCAAAAGACTTTTACTTTTTTATATCCTTTTTTTTTTTTTAGCCACACTAGCACCCAGGCTCAGTGTGTCATTAAGTCCCCTATTAATGAAATATCTTGACAAAAACACAGCCATTCATGGTCCTTAGAGGATAAATCCTACTTATTTTGCTCATTATGTTTAAATGTTTAACAGGATATATGTACTGTAACATTATGGAAGAATTTCACATATTGCGCAGGCCTGTAAAACAGCAGTCCAATCCCAACATTTCCTCCTTCCCCTCCCCAAGACAGTGTTGCTATAAACCTCTACCCTAGCCTTAGACCGACCACGGGGACGGTCACACATTTTGAGTTAACACGCCTACACACACACACACACACACACACACACACACACACACATAATTGAATCTGTTGATCCTACTGTGTGAAACTCTACCCCATCCAGCTGTGTGCAAGCACTGCTGAGGGATATATTAAGAAGTCAGGTGTGTCTTTGTGTATGTGTTTGTGTGCTCATGTCAGGGGTTGTGTTGACCTAGATTAAGATGAATATTTTCACTGTGTATCATCACTAGAAAGGCCTCTGTGGGTTTTATGATATTCTGGGTTCAGGGACGTCGGCAGACTTGAATCACTAGATGGGATGCGACTATAAATATCACTTATATTATTCAGACTTCCAGAACATTCAAGTAGAAAACGTTAAATTTCTGGCAACGAGTTTTTGGGAACTATGGATGTAGAGTTGGAGGAAATGTGCAGGAGGTTTCAAAGATATTCTCCATTTCTCAGATGTGATAATATTACATCCTGTAGTTGTAGGAAAGTCTCTGTTTGGGTGAACTCTAGTGTGGTTTTTTGCTCCTAAATTCCCACTATAGGTGTTCAGTGCACCGTCAGGACCACAAGGCTGTTGATGGACAAGCTGTCTGTGGTCGGTGGTTCAAAGATGTGACCTTTCAGCTACAGGATGCTCTCTGTAACCAGCAGGCCACCCTGCTGTGTGAATGTTCGACGCTGGAGCAGTTCTGATAACAGACTTTTCCCCCGTCAGTCCGGTCGGGTCTGCAGGAATGTCTGGAGGCTGTTGTTGTAGATTAGGAGGAATATTTTTACTGGAGGCGTACAGCAGATGGGACGGGGATGGGTTTCATTACTGATGGGACCTGTGATCTGAACAACATGTCTGTGTGTGCCTAGCGTATGTGTGCATAACTTTGAGAACATATACTCTGTTGGGAAACATAATACTCACACTGAGAAGGTCAAATATTCCCATGTGCTTCAGATTAACTGTGATCGCAACGTATGTGAAAGTGCGGTAAAGACCAGCGAGCAGCAGCAGCAGCATGGGGTGGTTGCGGCGACCATTACAATGTAATTATTGTGAATGGTTGTTAGCAAATGACTTTTTACAGTTCTCTTGTACAATTACAGCAAAATGCCTTGAAACGAGTTGAACATCTATTTTTATTTACACCCAGTACAGTGTCAGGTTTGAATAAAAGTAGAATAGTCAAAGTTCAGTTGTCTATTATCTACTTGAGTAAACCCTTACAGTAAAACATTTTTCTCCGGACTGGCATCAGTCCCACTAAGATACAGAACAAACAGAGTGGAGAGAGTTTTCTGATCTGAGGGCAGCGAGAATTTGCAGCTGAAAATCCTGTAAGCAGCTCTACCAGTGTTGCCAGATTTGATTCCAACAAATAACCCAATCGGAGCCTTGAACATGCCCCAGTTGTCATAAAAGTAGGCCAGTTTTTGTGCTTCGGATTGGAGAGGAGCTTCTTTGTCTTTTGTTTTCTTTCTTTTTAAATGAGGTATGATCTCTTCTTTTTCCTCTTTTCCTTAAAGTTGTGGCAGACTGGACACAGTGTCAGTGTCCCTGTCAATATCTGTACTAATTGGACGAGAGGAGGGAATTAAGCATTCAACATCCAATCAAGGAAAACTGACAAAATAGCCTAAATGACCAGAACCATTTTCATCTACCCAATCAAATAAAAAGGAGTACAAATGGGTGGAAAACTGTCAAATCTGGCAACAATCAGCACTAAGTAGTGTTTCACATGTCTGTACTCAGCTCCTGTGCTCAGAATACATGAATCTTGATAAAAATTGTTCATGTCCAGATTTTGAAAGTAGATGAAGCTGAATTGAATAAAAAGGTTTTCTGGAATCCCGACTGTAACACATCCATACACTGTGCAAAGTCATCACTCAGATGTCAACATGGAGCCAGTGATGTGCAGGGAACGGAGTGATGATTTTCATGTACTTTTCATTTTATGGGCCATAATATAGATTATAGTTCCTGCAAGATTTGTGTGTTTCCCCTTTAATAGTGCAATGTGCTTTGGCAGTGTAAATGCTTTAGGTGCCTGAAAGAGTTTAAAAGTTGATTTGTTGAAACATATCAGCTTTAGCCTACAAAAACTACTGAATATTAATGAAACCATCATTAAAGTTCAATACTACTACTACTACTACTACTACTACTACTACTACTACTAATAATAATAATAATAATAATAATAATACGTTATATTTAATTGTTAAAACATAATGAATCACTTTTATTGGAGCTGCATTTGATGTGTGCAAATGTCCAACCAACACACACACACAAAGCCTACTCTTTCATGTGGATGTGTGTGTCTGTGTGTGTGTCCTTCTTTATCTGAGTGAGACAGATGTGTGTCTGTTTCACAGAGTGAAAGAGAAAATGTGTGACGCAGCAGTTAAGTCACATGTCACTGTGTGTGTTGCAGAGAGTGAAACAGAGAAAAAGAGGAGGACAATATGACACAGCAGGAGTCAGCTGTTACTCTTGTGTGTGTGCGGGGACACATACATGTCGTGCGCACGTGTGCGTCTGGCAGGAATGTGTGCCACGAGATCGCCGTGCACGCTGCCCTGGCCATTAATCTGAGAGCATCATCATTGTAATCGTCATCATCTTCTTCCTCACAACACACATCTGGAGCCGAAGGCTTGATTGAGAGCAGCTAGTGCCCCATCAGGATGTGGTGCAGTGATTTCCCTTCTGAGAGAAAGTGGGAGAAAAGAAAGAGGGAGGTGTGAGGGAAGAGAGAGAGAGAGAGAAAGAGGGGGGGATGTCGCTGCAGCAAAAAGCCAGCTGCAGAGGGATGACAAGGATTGAGAGAAAGAGAGATGAAGGACTGCAGATATAGAAAGAGATGGGGATAAAGAAGGATGGAGATCAAAGGATGAGAGGTGTGAGAAAAGAACAGTACTGATATAGAAAGATGGAAGGATAGAGAAAAAGAGGAAAGTATAAAACAGGGATGGAGGGGATGATTTCCCTCTGGTCTCTTTGCACCAGTTTATAGCTGTACATGTTTGTTTACTTCAGTAATTGATTGTATTGTCACATTAATGGGCTTTACACGTCATATGAGCAACACACCAATGCCGGAGAGAGAGTTTGTATGAGAGAGAGAGAGAGAGAGAGAGAGAGAGAGAGAGAGACGTGGGGGGCGGAGGGAGCGTGGGCCGAGCAAGCGAGAGAGAGGTAGAAGGGGAGAGGGTGCCATAAATCACAGCACATCACCGGGCGGACGACAGGGAAAGTTGTGATAAGGATCGCTCTCGTATCCCCCCCCACCCACCCTCCCTCCGAGCTTTTCTCTTCCAAGCCTCTGGCAACATTTTTCTAGCTGAAACCATAAAGGTCTGCCGTTTCTCTGAGGGGCTGTGAGGATGGAGTGGAATGAGGTGGATTTGGTGCAGGAATTTACTGTTGAAGGACAATGCAGCAAAATTAAAGTCCGCTCCTGCAGGATCACATGGGACAGCCTGCAGGTAAATTACAGCACAGCGGGATGCTGATAGAAACTGCATGTTAATGTCAGCTGGGGGCTCACGGCGGTGCAGTCTGCAGGATGTTGTACAGAGTATTAACAGCATGAGCAGCAGAATGCATGACACCGGTGTTAAGTGTCTGGCGAACTGTTAACTTTTCAGTAGCTGTAGGATGCATGCCATCATTAGAAAGATAGACCTGGCAGTACCTAGAGGATGTAAACTTCATGGACAGATAATCCCAGGACAGCAGTGGCACACTCCTGGCCGCACTGTTGGGACTGACAAGAGATCTTTAATCCATCCGATGACAAGCTTTCACATTAAGGATTTCAAATCAAGCAAGTGAGCAGGATTGTTGAGGGTGTTTTCGATGCCAATAGTGTTACATATTGTGTCTGCCTTCCAAAACCACGGTTGATGACCAAGCTTTTTGCCGGCTGTCTGTAAAATGTAGTTTTAAAGGCTCCAAGGATCAATGATTTGTTACTAGGTGGAGGGTTTACTCACCTTTTTAATACATATTTATAATGCAACTATATGGAAGCAAAAAGGTGTCAAGATTTTTATTTTGCAAGCAACTCATACCTAGATGAGTTTAAAATTTAAATAACACCCAAATTCATGAATTCACATTTGTGTAGTCTGAAATTCCCTCCTTGAATATTTCACAAGATAAAAGTTGCTTATATTTGAATGGTGAAATTTGGATACCAAAATTCAATATGTGCATAAAATGTATCTACCGATGATTGGTCGGACCTCTGTCCGTCTATCAGGTTACGTTCTGTCAGTTGTGTCTTCAAAGAAAGAGAAGTTCAGACTACAAAACACAGAAAGTTTTAAGGGGTTTCAATGCTATGAATTCAGTTAAACACTTTAACATTAAGTAGTCAGTAGTGGTACATTTTCACAATCACATGCCGGTTGTAAATTCAAATGATTGTGGCCTTTCTTTGCTTCCATACATCTACAAATGATTGTATCAAACTGAAATAAGTTGTATGATGATAGATCGGAAAAAACATGGATTAAGTAAATTCTCTGTAAACTTCAGGGGTTTACATTTTACTAATCTATCTATGAACCACTGCAACGCTGCTTCCAAAGATTCTGCTCATTCTGGCACTGGCTGGTCTCCTGTGAGGGGACAGCGCAAGAGCAGCATGCATTAGCAGGAGATCAGTTTGTATCTGCAGACTCTTCATAATGCACATCAAAATGAGGATCTGCAGAATCTCACAAGTCAGCAGTTAGCTAATGACATGTGGCACCGCTGACTGGAAAACCAGTGTAATGTGCATAATGTCATCGTCTAAAACATGATGTCGTCTGCATTATGTTGAAATACTGTTTGTGCATTATGTTTTTAAGTAAGTGAGCCTGAAGGCAGTGAGTCAGTCATTAATCACTAATATTGATATTTAGGATAATGCTGCAAGAGTTAGAGCTTCCACTCTGTGAGTCATTAAATGGTCAGTGGGTTTGATTTATTTCCCTGATTTCATATCTAAGATTTGCCCTGGCCCTCAGGGCTCAGTTCAGGGTAATGGAGTTTTTCATCAGTTCCTCCCTGAGTCATGGCATTAAAGCTTCCACCGAGATATGGAAAGACCTTTTTGATGTTTATCCATATTGACTGAAGGCTCCAATCCCACTTTGAGTTTTGAATGACGTCCCTGTTGTTGCTGTTGTGATGTTGTTCAAGCTTTTAAATCCCAATGACTACAGGCCTCAAATATCTTCCATCTTTAACTGAGAGCACTGCTCATTACAGACAGTTGAAGTAAACAAGTTACTCAAAAGTCCTGTTTTAAGAAAAATGGTTTCATGTTTTCTGGTACCTGACCCTTAACACTCCTGTCTCCTATCTCTGGGTATCCATGTACACCACAGAACAGTGAAATTAACTGGTAAAACTTGCTCCCATCACAACAACTCTGGGGTTTCCCAGGGTGTCACTTTAGGCCCCTTCCTTTTTCTGTTTACTACTTTAGCAGTTTGTGTATTGACTCAGTATTTGTATGTTTTGATCCTATACTATGTTGTATTGGACTAAATTATTTGAATATATACATGAAAGCTGTCCCTAATGTTTCCTCATCCTCATTTATGTATAAAGAGGTGCACAAATACTTTGAACACCCTACATCATAGGCAATCTTTTACAACAACAAACAGTAGCAAAATACAGGTATTTGTGCTACTGGCTTTATGTGTCTGACTGTTTGCTTTGGCACTATTTGACAGCTAAACACATGTTTTGATATAGATATATGAAAAGATTACTGTCTGTGATGGACATTCCCATCTTGTTATCCATATTTTTATTTATTTACATAGTTTTAATGGTTATGAAGATTATGAAGGTGTTTACAGTAAGGCAGTTGCATTATCTGTCTACAACAGTTTATACAGTGTCAGGCTTAAAATATTCATAACAATAATAATCATTAGTCTCATAATGACTCATAAAGAGGCAGATACTTTTACTCTGGGTGGCATTCATTAATCAGTGTATAATCACTCTGGATTGACACCCAAATGAAACCGTAAGCAAACTGCAAAATTGTATGTTATAATCCCAGGGAGAAAATACATTTTCACAGCTTTGGTCCCAGGCATGTTTAAGAAGGCCTGGAATGTGGTGCATTAACACATGCGATAAGCTATACTGATAATGTTACATCATACTGAGTCATTCATACGTTTTTGCTGACAGGCAAAGATCTGCTTTGTGAGGCGATACTTGATATTCTACTATTGTATTGTATTCCACTCTACATTATATTAATTTGATGCAGTGCAGAGCTACATGGTGTTGAAGCTTTCCTACAATAGGTTTTATGGTCTTGTAACTATATAGTCACATAATCTAGAAAGTAGAATGTGTATGTGTTCATATAATCAATTATATACCAATTTACAATCTGTACAGTTAAACAGACAGTTGATTTCACTGTTTTTGCATTGCATTGTCTGGCTTCTCTGCATGCTGGAAATCAGTGTAACTGACCAGGTGCAGTGTGCGTGTTGATCGTCCATGAATGAACACACACAATAGCAGGATGTGGCTGGGCAGAAACCTTCCTCTGTTGTCTGCTAAAGGCATTTCTCTCCCCCCAACCCAACATTCATAGAAATGTTTGTTCTGAAGAACATCCGCAGCTACATAACGAGCTGTTCTGGACAACGAAACACTCCTCTGACAGTAAAATACAGGACAAATGAACAGTGTGATTAGATTCTCTCTAGCTGATTTTGATGTCTGTGTCACTGTCCTGCAATGACCAGAGCAGATAGGATTCCGGCTATTTTCCACAAACCAATACAATCATTCTGTCACTCTGCCAGGGCCACCAGCTGCGAGTCTAATAACATTTCTGAAGCACACTGAAGGTGCTCTATGACCTAAAGTGTGAGGTGATATGTGTGTGCAGCTGTGCACTGTAGCCTAGCATTTATCTCCTGTCACTGTTTGGGTTTTCATCTTGTCAGTAATAGTCCTAAACTCAGTGATGTGTAATGGATGGAAACAGTGATTAGAGATACGGGGGGGGCTTTTACTATGGACATACTGTATTAATATATACTACTTTTTGTGTGTGTTCTCGTGTGTGTGTAGGTTCCTCGTGTGGAGCTGACCCTCTCTGAGCTCCAGGAAATGGCCACAAGACAACAGCAACAAATAGAGGCTCAGCAACAGATGTTGGTCGCCAAGGTAACTCATGGGCGGGCACACACACACACACACACACACACACACACACACACACACACACACACACACACACACACACACACACACACAGCTGTTGGATGGATTGCTTGTCAGTAAGTGTAAGGTTATCTACATTAGAGTCTGTCTGAAAAGGTCGGCTTTGAGGCCCCAGGAGCTATGGCCTTGGAGGAATCTGTGTGTGTGTGTGTGTGTGTGTGTGTGTGTGTGTGTGTGTGTGTGTGTGTGTGTGTGTGTGTGTGTGTGTGTGTTTGTGTGTAAGGATCAGGGCTCATACGTCCTCCTTGGAAACAGGACATGTGATCCAGGTCAGGGTTTAAGGACTGACAGGAAAGAACAACTCCAACTTTGAGCCAATAGACCACCGTTCACCTCCAGGTTTTGTGTGTGAGAGAGACCCAGATCATGGTTATTCCCACATTAGGAAGTGACCTTTGAGTTGACAGGAAATGAGGTCATCAGGGAGCTGCTGGGAAGCTGAAACAGAATTGTACTCCAGGAAAGGGTCAGAAAGGAGGGGCCAAAACAAATTTCATTTGTTAAAGTCTCTCAATTCAAGTGTCAGTTTAGTCTAAAGTGAATAAAAATGCTTTCAGCAGGGAACTTTTTTCAACCACAAACTTTGATGCAGCCAATTTGGGTTTTTCAAGGCCAACTGTGGCACAGATCTTTTTATCTTGCAACTTTATGCTGATATTCAGCATTTTTAAAAGCAGCAATTTCCCTGCTAAATGACAGCCATTAAGTGTTTCCTTCCAGTGTGTAAGTGCTGAAGTATTACCTTGTCATGCACTTTCCATCCTCTTAACATTAACATAATGCAACATGGATGGATGACTTCCAGGAAAAAAAAGAATAGTGCAAAATCACAGCTACTGGTGCCTCCCACTACATCTACATGCACTAATACTCTTGCACTGTCCATGTAATGAAACAAGCTATGTTATGTAATGTGTTATTAGGATGTGTGTGTGAGAATGTGTGTGTTACCAGTGAATGATGGGAGGCTTCTTGCCAACATTCCATTTCCCTCTTCCTCTGTGTGTGTGTGTGTGTGTGTGTGTGTGTGTGTGTGTGTGTGTGTGTGTGTGTGTGTGTGTGGTGTGAGAGAGACACACAGGTCAGCTGTACTACGTGCCAGCACGATACAGAGAGGTGTAAACTGCCTCAGTCAGCATCACACCAACAGACCTCACCCTCTCTCTTTCTGTCTCTCTCTCTCTCTCTCTCTCTCTCTCCCTCTCTCTGTGTTTATTCATCCTCTCTGGGCTATTTGTTTTACAATGTGTGTAAAGATATATGCATGCAAAATAAATAAAAATCTAGCAAATAGCAAATATATTATTAAATATGAGAGTTTTTTGGTGAAAGGGGGTGATGCATTATGCAAGTATGACATTTCCAGTGTGATATATGGAATTCAAGGTGCTAATAAGGGCTCGCTGAGGCAATACAACCCGGCACGTAATAAAAATGTGTGTTTGACACCTCTCAGTTGTTCTGTCATAACTGTATCAACTTAAATATCGCTGCTTCAGCCTGGCGTTAAATGTCTCATGGAGCATAATAAGAGTGAATATTTACCCTACTCTCACTAGCTGTGTTAAAGGCCCTGCACAACCACAGGTGTTTTCAATTTCTGGCTAATTAGACCTCTAATCAGGTTGCAGGTGGGTGGAGCTATGATAGGAATGACGTCATGTCACGAAGGGCATCAAAAAGCACAGGTGAAACAAATATTGTTAACGATGGCTCTGTTCCATCAAGTGTCCCAGTAAGCTATGACAGTGAGCCAGCATGCACAATAGCAGGACCCTGAAATGGCACGCCTAAAATGGAATGCAGCCATTTTTAATACTATGTAACTGCAAGAAAGTTTCAAACACAGAAGGGACAGAATTGGTCTTGAAGCTTATCTTTCGTAAACTGGCACAAAAGGAAATGTCAATCAGCTCATCGTCTCTAGAAGATAATGTCATTATTACAGGCACAGCGTGTGCTACGTGCGACTGCAATGTTTCTGTTCTCTTCATCAGCATCTTTATCAGTCAGTACAAAGAAATTCAAAATGACAACTTGATGATTGTGAAGCTCTTGAAACACAATCAACTTAAGTGTGTGTTCAAGAATCAGACCACACAGTGATAAACTGACAGCACTGGGCTCAACACTAGAAACATTTTCACAGCAGAGTGTGTCAGAGGAAAGGCATATGTTGTTTTTCTGACTTTCATGCTCTATTTAAAGTCTTAAAGATATTTTTATTTTTTTTATCAATCAACATAAGCAAAACAGTGACAGAAGTAAGGACAAAAAAACATACACATTTCTTATGTGAAATAATCAAAATGCTTCTAAACCAAACAGTAGATTTTGTGTTTATGTTGGATTCCATCGTTCCAGTGAGTAGTTGTGGAGCAGTTAGTGTAGCTCACAGGGGTCCTGTTTTTGCCAACTGAAATGTATCTACAAATGAATGAAACCTCAAAATGTTATATGCCTTCAACTTTTTTTCATTCCAGGAACAGAGACTGCGGTATCTTCATCAGGGGGGCAGATCCAACCAGGGGCAGACACAGGTGAGGACCATATGTCTGTCTGTCTTCTGTCAGTCTTTAAAATGTGTATGGTTATGTAAGGAACCAGAACATATTTAAGGTTGAAACCCTGTATGTACATTTATATGTATTTGTATGTAATATATAATTTTGGGTGGTCACTCATGACACTTTTTCGCTGGGTAACCCAGAAGTTAGCTCCACCCAGGTTTACTGGTCAAACCCACTACAAGGACACTATAATCAATATCATCCACTAGCTTCCATCTGTTAAGTGAATGTTGAAAGTTGGGTATAGCAAGGTAACTTTAAAATATAGCCCCTTTATTCAACTAAAGTTATGGAAATACAATTTAATTTTAATAAAATGTGTTTAGCTTGTCTCTTTTCTTCTCTTCTCTTGTTTAGTCTGAAGCTGAGAAGCTGCAGCGGCTGAAGGAGCGAGTAGAGACTCAGGAAGCCAAGCTGAAGAAGATCCGAGCCATGAGAGGACAAGTCGACTACAGTAAACTGATCAACGGAAACCTCTGTAAGCCTGAACACACTAAGCACTGCAAAGATGATGACTGTGGATTACAGAAACTGCAGTTTATGACTAAATAGTTAAATAATCATGAAAAGTTAAAGCTACAGCGTGAGGGAAGCCTGAGCAAAAATGTGACTGTAAATACATTTCATTTAAATGTCATGGTCACTGTGTCCTTTCCAAAAGTAGTTGGACTCAGAAGCTAATACATTACAATATCTGATATAGACCAGATGTTTTTGTCTCTTGTACATTTTGCTGTACATGTATGATTATATTTCCCTACCCTCCCCTCGTTTGTGTCTCCAGCTGCAGAGATTGACCATGTTAGCAGCCTGTTTCAGGAGAAGCAGGCAGAACTGCAGTCTGCTGTGGTCCGAGTCGACCAGGTAACATGGAGGGTTGAGCGAGGGTTCATTGATACAGTCAAAATCTTGTGGGCTCTTGTTAAGTTCTATCCAAATGGTTTCACCAGTTGACCCAGCAGCTGGAGGATTTGAGAAGAGGACGCCTTCAGCTACACTCTGTTGCACCAGCTCAGGGGGCACACACCGGGTCCCAGGGTGCACCCACTGGCCAGAAAGGATCCCCCCTGTCTGGTCCTGCAGCCCTGGAACTGAGGAAACTCTACCAGGAGCTGCAGGTAAATTACACCATCTCCTTCTTTCAGCAGGAGATATGCAAATTAACAACACCTTTGGTCAGAAATAGTTTTCACAAAATTGAGTATGTAAGACTTGAACTGCTGTGTGTTTCAGGCCCGTAACCGTCATAACCTGGAGCAGAGCAGCAAGTTGGCCCAGAATAAGGAGCTGCTGAACAAGAGGAACGCCCAGGTGACGGTGATGGATCAGCGCATCGGAGACCTGAGAGAACGACTGCATAAGAAGAGAGCAGAAGTACACAGCTTAACTCCTATCACAAATTGAGTCTTTTTTAGATTTTTCATTTCTCATGACAGCTGGTTTAAAGCTAGCTTGACAGTTACTGATGTCCGTCTGTCTTTGCACACCTTTAGTTGAGTCGTATGAATGGAGGAGGCCTGTCCTCTCCTCAGACCTCTTCCCACCCAGCCGGCGGTGTTTCGGGTCGAGTAGCGGCTGTCTGTCCTTACATCCAGGTTCCGGCGGAGGGGAGACAGGAGGCGGGGTACCCCCTGCCAGCTGACCCACCACCCAAACCCACACCGCTCAGCCACATCCGCTCCCTCTCAGGTTGGTGGACTTTTTTTTTTGTTTTCTATTTGAAGGCGCTATACAGGACTTGGATCAGTTCATTTTCTGTCTTTTACTTCACAGTTTCTCGCTGTGCTGTTTTATGCCTGGGCTCTAACTTGCTGTCTATTTCCTTTTCCTGTCTGTTGGCTCCTTCTTTTCCTCTTCCCTTATCTGTTGTTGATGTTACCTTAAATGTGATGTGTTATTGGTGGTTTTGTGATCATTGTTTTTGTCACTTGTTGATGTTGTGGTGATGTTGTGACTGTTCCTGTTACTGTCTTGTGACACCATTATGATGTCATCGTGGTGATGTTCGTGTTGATGTTGTTTCGGTGGTTGTCACTGTCGTGGTTGCTGTCTTTCGTGGCGGGTGTGGCCATGCAGAGGAGGACAGGAGTGGCATCAGGAAGCCTCCCAGCCAATGGAAAGTGTCAGATTTAGACATCGTCCTGTCAGAGCCCACTGAGACGTGGGAGCGACCTCAGTCCCCTAAGGGGGGCGACAGTAACAACAGTGAGTCCTGATAAGACGCTAGAGAAGCTTACTCACCACTAGCTCCATTGGTGATAGATTAGCAGCACCTTCTTCTTCACTCCTTTATCTGCACCTTAAGGTGTAGTAGGTCTATTAATAATATTTCCTACATGATTTCAACATGATGTTTTATTGAGCGCTAATCTCAAGGTAGACATTTTCTTAGTTTGAATCCTGGGCTGAAAAATTGTGCATTCAAACCAAGAATGTGTTTTTGTCTAACTACACAGAACAGATGGTCTGGAGAACATAATTGAATCAGCTACAGAAAATGACCTCAAAATGTAAAGGTCATATGTATAAGGTCACAGACATGATATCTGATAGCCAGCAGCTGCTCGGGGTTAGGAAGCACAGCATAAGAAAATAAACTGAGGGCAAACAGTCTGGAATGAGACTATTCAATTATTCCTTCGCGTCTCTCTACCTTTGTGTGAGAAGGTCATTTGCACACCAAAAAAACCATCTGCTGACAAATTTTCCTAATATCTGTCTCATAAATATATAAATTTTGAATGTGACGCGATGAACTTAGTTATACCAAGTGCAGAAATATGACAAGGATAAGAAGAAAAAACAAGATATAAAGAAACATAATTTCAAGTATGTTTGAGACCGAAGACAAAATGAGCAAAAGTTGTCTCCCTTTCAGTGACTTAAAAGGAATAGTTTGACATTTGGGGAAATGCATTTATTTGCTTTCTTTCAGAAGAAGTTAGATGACAAAATTGACACCATCGAGTTAATGATCACACTAGCTTAACTCACTAGTGTCAACATCCACCCACATAGTTAGCATCAGCCTCGTCAACATAATATAGCCATGTCTCATTAACCTCTGGCCATGTTGGATCAGGCCACTCTCATTGTGCAGTATGTCAGACACTTGCTTCTAGTAATCTATCAGTACACCCAGGCTGGAAGTAGCAAAACATGTTTCCTCGCTTAGTTTTACTCCTGGGTATAAGTGAAGTGTCTTGGACCAGCGCTGGTACAAATCCCATTGTGTTCTTGAATGCCAAAGCAAATGCCACAGCTCTATTTTATTGTAGGGGCTTATGTAATGTGGAAAAAACATTGTTAAATCATGTCAACAAATGAATGAAAGGAAGTCTGAGGTACGCTAATTTGTTGCTATATACAGTCTGCATACTGTGTGTGTGTGTGTGTGTGTGTGTGTGTGAGAGATATTATAGCGAGATATTTTAGGAAGGGGGGGGTATGGAGTCATGACAGCTGTTGTAGCTGTCATCAGAGAGATTAAGGCTCTTTAACAAATGCTAGCACTGACTATCTATTACACTGTGTGAATGCTAATACAGTATAAGCATAGCAGTCATAGGTATTATCAGAGCAAACTAAAGGAAGGAATTCTATGCATTCCCAATAGCGTTAGAATACAAGTGAATAATTTATTTATTCATTGTAAATCTTTAGGATTTGGTTCATATTCCACTGATTTAAACTGATATTTGTTACAAAGTGGTAACAGGACCCGACAGCCAGCTTGATACAAAAGCTCTCTTTTTGAATGTCACACAGTTAATGATCGATAGGAAAGAAAAATCCTAATGCCTCTGGTTGTCCTTTTACTAAAAATCAGCCCTGGTCCAGTCAGTGGTGTCCATCTGTATGTGCAGCTCGATTGATTACAGCACATAGTATTAAATGCAGTGTGATTCATTTTTTAATATTCATTGATTTTATAGAAATAGTTTGTCCGAAATAGGCGTTTTAGTCCTTGTCACAAGTTAGATGACAGGATTGATACCACTTTCATGTCTGTAAACTAAATATTAATCTACAGCAGCCAATTAGCTTAGTTTAGCATTAAATTGCAACTGACAATATCCACATGGCAGCACATCTGAAGCTCACTAATTAACACATTGTATCTTGTTTGTTTAATATGTACCAAAAAAGTATAAGAGCAATTTGCCGTTTTACAGGGTTTATGTGCTGGATTATTTCTTGAAAACATTGCATGCTGCCAAGAAGATGCTTCAGTAGTGATGGTAGGCTTCTTAAAACCCCTTAATCTGAACATGAGCCATCCTTTGTCTCTTACATCGGGGCGTGCACTGCGATGGTGTCAGTGGTGTCTTTCCCCGACAACACTGAGTGACTGGCTGCTTCTAATCTGGGCTCTCAGGCAGATGGCCAAGTTTCCACCTCGCACAGGGCAGACTGTTTGTTTCCTGTCGTGACTGTTTTCTTCCTGAGGTCAGCAGGTTACAGCAGCAGCGGTTGCACAGCACAGCTCACTGACTGCAGGACTCCCAGGTTCAATAGTTAATCAGTATTAGTCTGCTAGGTACCAAGCTGTGACGTGGCTGTACCACAGAGAGCTAGGCCGAATGGTTAGGTAACAGTTTAAAATGATACTTGTAAACAACTCGGACATGTAGTGGAATTTTAATGTCCCACAATGGACTATTATTTTTAGCCAGGTGTGGCTTTAAGGATGGCAATTTCTGTCTGTCCGGCAGTCAGTTAGTCGTTTTTTTTCGTAATAACTTTGGTTATTTCCATGACTTTTCTGGTGCAATCATCAGGTCAAAATTTTATTTGTCCAATACTTTGTTTTATGACAAAACACCTGCAGAACCAAGGACATTCCTCTCAGCCTTAGACTAGTTTGTTTTCATTGGTAATTAGCAAATGTTGAACATGTTAAAAATTACCATGTTAACATTGTCAATTCATTTTCGGCTCACACACAGACAAAGTAGACATTAGACATGTAGTCTGCCCAAAGCTTCAGAACAATTTCTTTATTCAAACTAACCACATTCACAAGGCTATTTCCTCTCAGCTAGTCTTTAGTTTATATGGCAGTAAAGTGAGGTTAAACTGCTGTGAAACTGTAAAGCATTAAGCTAGGCCACTGACCTCAAGGATTGTCACTAGTTAATAGACAACAGTGGATCAGGATTTACTGACTGACCGGTACTCTGACCTTAGTGTTGCATTGAACTCTGCCAATTAGTTATGTAACACCACTTGTGCTACTTTGCATAACTAGCAGGCTTTCTCTTCTAAGAGCATTTCAACAGTCAGTCAAGTCAGTTTTAAACCTTCAAGGCAGCACTGTTAACCAACAACTCAGTGTAATTATTCTGGTAAAAATAGCAGAACAGCACCCAAAAGTCAATTTTCAGATACAGATGTAACCATGACAGCAACTTCATTACCCATAAATTCTGCAACCAAGCTCATGATAGGAGCTACATCAGTCCCATAGCTGTTCTACTTACAGGATGCTAAACACATGTTTGCAGCGGAGAGTACACTGTAATCACCAATCTGAAAATGTAGAGTAGTTGTTAAGCAATTCAGTGCGTCTTGTTACATTACAGTATTTGCTTTGTTGAGGGAAAACAATTGAAAGCCACACACTGTTGGGTCAAATTAAAAATAACTAGATGACTTGGAGTCTGTTCCAAATATTGCATGATTATTCTGTGGTCATAAATAATACACAATCTGACCTGCACTATTTTTATGTTGTTCTTGGAATAAACTACATGTATGGATAATAATATGTTTTTATTTTAGTCATTTGTTTTTTGTTTTAAGCATTGTATACAGGCATTGTTTCAATGGACTGACAAACTGTAAATGACAGCTAGTGTAATCCAGATCCCTTTCAACCTCTCCTCAGCATAACACAACAGACTTTCCATACCAGTGTGCCTCCCGCTCTCTAACTCTATCTCACATTTTAACCCTCTTTAATACAGGGTACTTTTTCACTAATTTTCATTTGTGTTAGTGTCTTCCCCTCTTTAATGCTTTTTCTGTTGTAACCTTTGTCTCTTTCTCAACCCTTCAACCCCCCCCCCTTTCTCTCTCTTTCTCTCTGTCTCTCTCTCTCTCTTTAGCTAATGAAGCGTCCTGGCCGAGCATCAGTAAGAGTGGGTCAGATTGGAGGACCAACAGTCCAGAACAGGTATTGTACTGTTTCCACAGTAGACATGGGAATACAATGATAAAAGTTATCATTATAATATTAGCCGTTATCATACATTATGTAATGAATTATTTCTACCAAATTATATTATAGAGACATTCAAATATTCTTAATTTCGCTAAGGATCACCTTGAGGCCATTAACCACTTTACCACTTTGAAGACTAGTGCAGTAAATGACTGTTGAACTTTTCAACTTGAGAAATATCTCAGGAGAAAAATTAGGTTATGTAGTCAGGCTTTAGAAAAATCTCTCTCTTTTCATTTCAATGTCTCTTCCTCCCACCAGCATCCCACTGGTTATGGTACCTACCCCAGTGCCACCCACCAAGCTGCAGGGCATCACTGTGCCACCAGCTCCCTGCCCCGTTCTGCCCCTGGTACACTGGGCTGGCCCCGATCCAGTCCTGTAAACGGCTCCTCATCCTCTACATCATCTTCCTCTTCACAACAAATACAGCAACGGATCTCTGTCCCTCCAAATTCAAGCCAAGGTAATTTGCAGAGTAACTTTAAAGAGGCTGAAAAGCTGCATTTTCTGTTGAACTGAACGTTGAACTCTGCGGATAATTTGAGATGTGGGTGTAGCATTCAGAAATTAAGCCAGTTCTATATTTCCCCTTCTCTGTTTCTACTGTTAGGCCCTGCCACGACCTCCCAACCCTCTCCCTTGTCCCCTCAAACAGAGCGAACAGATCCCCCTCCAGCGGTGGCTGTGCGTCCCTACGTCCCGGACCACCCTTCCAGGCCCCAGTCCCCCAGGAAGGGCCCCGCCACCATGAACAGCAGCTCCATCTACAGCATGTACCTCCAGCACCCTCAGGCCAAAAACTACGGATCTCTCAGCAACAGGACTACTGTCAAAGCAGGTAATTAAACAGCAGATTAAAATAGATTTTTATAGGCTGAAGATAGCGTATGTCTAATTTTCTTACAATGTTCACAATGAAAAAAATCAATCTAGGTACTATCTGTCCCATTTCCTTCCTTTCTCTCCATAGTCTACGGTAAACCCATCCTCCCCACCTCCTCCACCTCTCCGTCCCCTGTCCCTTTTCTCCAGGGAGGAGGAGGAGGAGTAAGAGCAGGAGTAGAGGATGTTACAGATAAAGAAGTAGGCAAAGGAGGAGGCGAGAGCAGTGATGGGCAAATCCTCCCTCCACCCAGCGTGGACAACATCCCTCGTCCCCTCAGTCCCACTAAGCTCACCCCAGTCGGTAGGTACCAGAGAATATCTCATTCTAGTTCCACGTCTCCTGCCCAAAATAAATGATGATCTGAGAGCAGGAGTAACTTTTCAATAAACAGATAACAGAAGAAATGTGTACATAATTGTAACCATTAGAGAATCTCACTCTTAACATCTTTTTATTTCTCACCTGTGCCCTCCAAAGCCCATTCCCAGCTACGTTACCAGAGTGATGCTGACCTGGAAGTTCTCCGCCGACGCCTCAGCAATGCCCCACGACCCCTAAAGAAACGGAGCTCCATCACTGAGCCTGAGGGCCCACAGGGGCCAAACATCCAAAAACTACTATATCAGAGGTCTATACTACACTATACTATACTATACTATACCCGCCATTTGAAACAGAAACTAAATATAAGGAATGAAGGTTGTAGGAGCTTAGTTACAACTGATTTCTGTTGTGGTCTGCAGGTTCAACACGTTGGCCGGAGGCATGGAAGGAGGCTCAGGTAAGCCACTGTGATATAATGATATGGTCTCAGTTGGTCTTTATACTATTTCCCATTGATGTTAAGGGTTTGATGATGTTTCCTTTTTAATTCCAGGCAATACTTTCTACCAGCCTGAGTGCATTTTGGGTGACATGGACAACATCCATTCAGCGAACGGGAATGTTGAACCTGGTGACAAGCACGTCAGTATGGCAACCGTGGAGAGCGAAGTTCAAAACCTGAACTTGGGCTCCCGCCGCTTGTCTCCTCCCTCTGTTGCCATAGAAACATCCAAAGAGATGACAGCTAAAGTGGAAACTATCAATAACGTGTCCCGATCAACCCAACCCAGCTCGTCCCCTGCACCTGATAGGCCGGAGGACCAGAACAATAACAACCAGAAAGGATCTAGTCCCGCACACAACTCTGTGGGCCATGCCTCCCCTTCTATATCACCTCCTGCACCACCTTCACTGCCTAAGGTAAATATAGATTCTAATTACACCTGATATGGGCTGCACACATTAATATAATTAATTATAAAAAGGACACTAATACTATATTACCCTATACATTTGATGAACACGGCATCTCATTTTGTTAGCAAGTATTCTACTTTATTGGTTCTCTTTAAAAAATGTTACTGCTAACCTTAACAAAGTAATTGTTCTGTGTGAAAGCTAATGTACCAGATTAAGCAGTAAGCACTTCCCCAGCACTTCTTATTCTGCATTGTCGAGACTTTACTATTTCTCTCCCTGTGTGCTGCAGGTGAAGCGAACCAACCTGAAGAAGCCATCATCAGAGCGAACAGGCCACGGTCTGAGAGTCAAGTTTAACCCTCTAGCTCTGCTGCTGGACGCATCATTAGAGGGAGAGTTTGATCTGGTGCAGAGGATTATATATGAGGTAACACAAAATGATGTTGTAACAGTATCGTATTATAATACATTCTCATATTTCGAATTTGTAATGCTTATGAACTGTGTGCGGATTTAAAATCAAATCAAGCAAAGTTTATTTTCACAGCTCAATATTACAATGAGTCAAAGCACTGTACAAGCCTACGTTAGTAATGGTTCCCTACCCATCTTATGTTTTGCAAGAATACAAGGAAAACCACCCTCCAAAAATCCTATGGAGATGCAATTTAATGAGAGATACCCTCTCAGACATCTGGGAGTGTGCAAAATGCAATCATTTAGTCAGTATCAGTATCAACATAAATTCCAGTCCAAAGGCCAAGCCTGATGGTGTAGGGTAAAGAGTCATTAGATGGCATAGTTCAGAGGATGCGTAGCATGGTGGACAAGGTAAGGGTAGGCAGCCTGAAGATGGTGGTGGGCCAGCTTTTTCAAGCAGCCAGGATGAGGAACAACATTGAATCCTGAGTGGCTCATTATGTTTGATGGCAACATAGAACAGATGGTTGTCTGCGTAGAAGTACAAATCTATTCTGAAGTAGCATATATACATATATATATATATATATATATATATATATATATATTAGTGAAAGGTATTGCACCCAGTACCAAGCCCTGAAGGACACCATACTTTACACAGAGCAGAAATACTAATTGCTATCAAAAAGCAAACTGTTCTATACTGTTTTTAAGATGATCTAGTTAAATATTATGATTAATAGTATTGAATGTTGTGCTTACGTCGAAGGAAATTAGAATTAAGGTTGCAACTTTACTCAGCTAACAGCTACTTTGATTAGGGCATTTTCAGTGTTGTGGTGTTCTCTAAACCCTGACCTAATACTAAAAGATAATGCAGCTATGTGAGATGTGTAGAATGTAGTGAAGTGAGTGTAATCTCACCAGAGAATCTTTTGTTGAAGCCCTAAATCTTGAGCTGTCTGTTAAATAGAGCAGAATATCGTAGGACATAGTTTGGTTATACCTCCAATTTGGTTACACTTGTCCAGTGTTGTGCTTTTGATACATTTGTGTGGAATGAATAAACAAATCTCCAAATGCAATAGAGGAATATTTGTACATGCCAACAATTACTGTTCACCCACACACAGATTGCCTCAAGAGATCTGGAGGATTTTCTAGCTTTTGAATACCTTCATGGCCAAACTTACTAAGTATAATATCTTTGATCTTCTGCAGCTCTGTCAAGGGAGAGGTGGTCTCAGTTGTCAGGTGTTGAAAATTGTTGTTAAGCACTCACGCTGTATTACAGTGCACAGAGCCACTGAGAAAAAAGCTTTAAATCTTTAAAGGTAAAATCCATCTATCCCTGACAGCTTTCACTTGGAGACTGGACAAGCTTACTGGCTCTTCAGACTGCAAACTACAGCTGATACTCTCAAGGAAACATTCAGATGCTTCACTTCCAGAACAAGCTCAGTTTGATGTTATCATACCCCGAGGCAGTAAGACTCAACAACTCAACAGCTTCCAAGCTGTTCAAAAAATGTTGCACTAACCTGAGTTTTGCAGTGAACTCAGGAATTTGGCACCTCTATAGTGAAGTTAAGGGTTTCTCAAAGCTGATACCAATATAGATATTTGGTGATTTTTTTCCCCCACTGTTGCTGTGAAAAGCCAATCATTCTCATCAGCCTAATATGTAGTTTTTCTTATTATTCTAGGTGGAAAATCCCAGTATGCCTAATGATGAAGGCATAACTCCTCTTCATAATGCTGTCTGCGCTGGTCATCACCATATTGTGAAGTTCCTGTTGGACTTTGGAGTTAATGTAAATGCAGCTGACAGTGATGGATGGTCAGTACCTTCAGTCAGTCATTCAATCATGAAATGGTCTAGACTAATAACAGATCAGTGGCTGCTGAAGGACTAGAGGGTAATCAACACACTGTGGCAGTGATAGTGCAGCTCAGCTCGGAGGCAACAATGACAGAGATAATTGCATTTCTAAATTCAGTTTTGACTCAGCTGCCTTAGCAGTATTGAAGGGAGAGATTACCAAGTCTAATGAGGATCTGCATTCAGAAATTACATGATTTAATTTATTCATGTTTAGTTAATGTCAGCCTGTTTCATGATTAGATTTGTGATACAACTGCATTACTGGAACATCTTTGTCCACCTTATCAGAGGTGAATGAACCTTGAAGCAGAGAAAGTCTGTTTAATGTAATATTTTACTGTTTTCCCTCACAGGACTCCTCTGCACTGTGCAGCTTCATGTAACAGCGTCCACCTCTGTAAGATGCTGGTGGAGTCGGGGGCCGCCATTTTCGCCACAACGATTAGTGACGTCGAAACGGCAGCAGACAAATGTGAAGAAATGGAGGAGGGCTATACACAGTGCTCTCAGTTCCTCTATGGTAATTAGATAGAGAGAGACAGATTATGAGTCAACAAAACTGAACTCAACAGGTCTACTCCAGTCCAGAGAGTTAATACATTTGAACATTAACATTTAAAAAATGATCTTACTTGTGGAAGAAAATGGGTAGTAGTAATTTTTTCTCCAGCAAAGCCATAGTTGAAGTTGTTTTTTAACAGTAAATACTCTATTCCTCTCCCAGGCGTGCAAGAAAAGTTGGGTGTGATGAACAAAGGCTTGGTCTACGCTCTCTGGGACTACACGGCCCAGCAGGCCGATGAGCTGTCCTTCAGCGAGGGTGACGCTCTCACCGTGCTGCGTCGGCGTGACGACACTGAGACAGAGTGGTGGTGGGCGCGGCTTAACGACCGCGAGGGATACGTACCCAGAAACCTGCTGGGGGTGAGAGAACTCAAGATATTTCAACAGACACCTTTCCATAAAGTCTTCGCACAGTGCCATTTAAACCTCAGGCAGTGCTGTATGTACACACTCCATAATGCTCAGAACCCAATTATTGTACTAGTAAAGCAGAACTATTTACATAAATGTCCATCACAGTTTCCCTTTACAGCTTCAACCTCTCAGCTGTAACTGTATTGTACACCATGTGGCCTCAGTGTAACTAATAATTAACATTTAAAGTAGGAAGTAAATGTAAACTGTTCATTCAGTGAATTAATTGTGTTTCACCAGCAGAAAAAAAAGGTTTCTTAAGTGGCAGATTTATTCCCACACAGTGTCTTACGGTCTGCCTTCATGATGTTCAGGCACCTTGAGAACAATGTTAACATGATGTAGTGACCCTGCCCTCCCTCTCGCTCTCTCTCTCTCTCTGGCTGTCTCTCCAGCTATATCCAAGGATCAAACCCAGACAACGTTCACTGGCATGAAGCCCAGATCCCACTCGCAGAGGGCGCATGCACACGGAGAAGAAGAGGAGCAGCAGCAGCAGCATGTGGGCGGAAGCATTAGCTGGAAAAGAAAGAACAAAGGACGGAGAGGGAGTTGGGAGGCTGAGTGAGGGAAGAAAGGAGATGGACAAAAGATGGAGCTCACAACTCTGATGAAGCAACTTTTTTTCCCGTTTGTTTGGATGTAATGCTGGAATCACAGAGCCACTTTATGGTAGAATCATAATATATTTTCACTGAGTTGCTGCAGTTAGAAGAATCGCCTGAATTTTATTTTGAGCAACAGTCGCTTGGCAACTTTACATGAGTTCAGCTGCATGAGAGAAGCTGAATAGAAAAAAAAGAAAATTATTCATCTTTTGGATGCAGCTTTGAGTTATTCCAGCTCAGAACATGAAAGCATGAGCTTGGAATTATAAGGCTCTCTCTGACACTTACCCAAATAATTCTTATAATGACACTTTATTTTTGTATGGTGTTAATTAAAATAAAAACCCATATAAAACCCTCATAAAAAAACAAGCTCATCAACAGCAAAAGGATGTGCTCTTCCTCAGTGTCGGTGAACATAGTATGTTGTCTGAAAACACCTTCCCACTGTGTGGTGTGAAGACTTAAATGCAGTAAATTTACAGGCTAGATCAGGTGAAAGTATGTGTGAGATGTGAAGTTGGAGAGAGGAAAGTGTGAAGAGAGAACAGATAGTGTAACTCTGAATGTGTGTTAAAGAAAGTCAGGTTTTGTCAGCAGTAGTCAGGAATAACGTCAGAAGTGCAACCACAAGACTAAGAAGCAGAATCCAGCCAGCTTTTAATGCATGGTGGCTGAGGTACACATCAACCCACTCAAGCAGCAGATGTTTACAATATAACTTAATGGCATGGTAAAAAAAAACACAAGTTTGAATTGATATCAGAAGAATATTTCGATTCTGATTTCCCAAAAGGATATAAGAAGCATCTGCGAATCATTACGGATGTCTCAACCTTTTACTACTCTGTATTTATGTTGACTCAGCGCTGGTGCATGCTGTCATATCAACATCTGTTCAACTGCAAAATGGTTGCTGCTGGTAGGACAGGAGGAAAAGAAGGAAAAAAAGAATGTGAGAAGGGAATTTTTGAGACCAAAGCACCTAGAAAATGGGTTTAGAGGTGAAGAAGGAGGAGGAGGAGGAGTAATGAAAACCTCTGCCTTTATCCATTCACACACAATATCTAGTCCAGACTAGGGCCTGGCACATGTTGGTCCTAATACTGGGGCAATACTAGCACCAGGCTCTAAAACTAACAATACGATAAAGCAGTGTTACCCATCTACCACAAGTTCAGTGTTAAAGGATTTCATATTGGTCAGTCCACTTAAAAATATCACATAGGAGCTCCTGTGGCTACTCTGTGTTGTCTCACCCTGCCATGTCTTAAAGTTTAGAAGGTTGAGAATAAAATTGAATACATTATCCCCGGGCTAACTGCTTAAGTGTTAAAATGGGGCTTAATTAGCTGAGAGTGAATGAAGAATCTAAAGTGTGAAAACAACTTGACTTCCTTTAAGTGTCATCTCTGATTTTTCTTCTTCATATTTACATATTTCAGTAGTTGTATGAAATGTATTATTCTCCTGGTTTGTTGTTTTATTTAAAACAAAACATTGGATATTGTTTTTCTATTATTATTATTATTATTATTATTACTATTATTACTACTACTACTATTCTTAGACACATTGCTCTTGTTTCCTTATCTGTCAGTGCTGGTGCCACTCACTGCTGCCACCCAGTGTACAGAAGGGTTTTGACTCAAAGCGTTGTTTGACATGCTGTGTAAAATATGAAGCAATAAGTGGAGTAATGTTTGGTGTGAGAATGGCACATCAGTCAGAGGAGTGCGAACCATTACTTTGTGTATATGCAACCTGTAACTACACAGCTAATGTACAATAATAATAAAGAAATTATAATCCCTGCAGAGGATCAACACTGTGACTCTCTCAAGTTTCTGAATAAAGTGTTAAATGCGTAAGGAATAAGGAAGAAAAGAGTATAAAAGATGGAAGCTGGACGTAGTTATTGTAGAGCAACTGGGTGGAACAGATGGATGTTGACATTAGTCCAATAAATGTAATTGAATAGAAAACACATACTGAGAGCTGCTCTCCCTCTTTCTGACACACACACACACACACACACACACACACACACACACACACACACACACACGTGTCCAAGTCTTGGTAATAAACTGTGGACTTTAGAGGGGAATTAAAGTTCACTGGTCATTCAAGTCTCAGCACCAACAGAAGGCTCCTCACATGTAAGTTTATTTCTGTTTATTTTCACTATATATTATAATGTGTAAATTAGTGATTCTGAGTTGAGGTTTGTTTTGCAACATTCCCTCTTTTCAAGAGCTAAAACTGACATGCTGATACAGCTTCACTTAAAATATAGACATGTGTCAAGGTAGCACACATGACAGAAAATATGGGAAAAGTGTATTTCCAAATGAAAGCACAGCAACAAAATATAGGTCTGGAAGTCTAACTGTGAATTTCCCTGATCATCATAAAGGTGATACAGAATCAGTCTGCATATAAGGGTTATAATAATAATAATTATTATTATTATTTAACATTCTTAAACAGTTAATATTGTATTATACTGCATGTTTATTAAAGACTGCCTTATATATAAGACAAGAAATATAATAGTCGGCCTATTTGATGACACAAAACTTAAAATTAGGAAAACAGAAGTTTAGTTTAATAGCAAAAGATCCAATGTTATGGCAAATTATTATTACAGGTTAAATGTACTTGTGTATACTTGTATATTTCAGAGTTGCCAGGATAAATAACACGCAATATTACATGATATATTTATTTGGTTGTTGTTATTATTATTATTATTATTATTACTGAAAAAGTAAAGAAATGACACATTTATTTTGTAGGAGCTCCCGGAAGTAGGGGTGTTCAGCTGTTTTTGTTTTCTGCTATGTGCTAGCATTATGTAGCGTACACTGAAAATATGACACACTTTGCATGAATTAAACGTCCTTATCCTTCAGAGGCTCCTTCAACAAGACATTTTACCTAAACGTAAGTCAACATTTAAAACCTTACACCACGTTATCACCTTATGACGTACAGCATACGTTAATGCACGTCATTAAATTGGTTTACATTGTAACTTATTGGACGTTTATTACGTTATAACGTTTTGTAGCCATAAGGGCTAGCTGCGTCACACTCACTGTTCATCATTGGTTGGGGTTGAGATGTGTTTGCTGCCAGTCCGACACCATGGTGTTCAATCATTGTCTCTCACTTCCTCAGCTCCCAGTTTGAGCAGTTACATAATGCACACACACACACACACACACACACACACACACACACACACAGCACAGTCTGAAACGCGGTCCAAATACTTAATAACCTTCTGTGAGGGGTTTATATTGTTTTATGGCATTTAATTCACAAAATAGACTAATGGTTATATTGAACAGCAACAAACAAGGATTAAAACAATACTGAACAATTACCCAGCTCTACATAAGATTACTACAGCTTCCATGATCTACAAAATGTGTTGACATTAGCACCAGCCACCAGCCAATATGCTTTTCCATGTTAATGTGCACTTTCCAGCTGCACTTGGAGGCAGCACTGGCCAGGCATGGCACACAATGGGGCAGGAAGGTTTAGAGTGGTGCCTATTAATATAAATAATGAAAGATAGCTTTACTGCACTTTTATACTATATTTGGAAACTTTGACCAAAAAAATCTCCACTCAAGGTCCACTCCGTAGCTTTTTCTGGAGCTTTCAACAGCGTTTCAGCTTGCCGTTTGCTCAGCCGTCTTCATTCTCAGCATTGTACTCATCTAACACCATTTCAGTGAGATCAGACGCACCATGGCAGAGCATTTCCACCTAAACACCCCGCTGCTGGAGACCGTCAGCATGTCCAAACGTGTGGGAACCACCGTGTACCTAAAGATGGAGAATTCACAGCCCTCCGGTTCCTTTAAGATCCGTGGCATTGGACACCTCTGCCAGCAGGTAGGGACCCTCAATCCTCTGCTGGCGTTTGAAAAAGCAAAAATCATCGAAAAGCAAATCAGACACTGACTCTCTGTCATTTAGATCGAAGGCCAGTGTTGCCTGATGGTGGTTCGTAGAAAAAAAGAAACAAAATTGTCCTTTTTTCATTTCATTTCTCTCTTCTGCAGCTCGCCAGACAGTCCAAAGGAGTTGTCTGCGCTTCAGGTGATTTCTACTGGGACACAGCATATTAATATGCTCAATATTACTGCAGTATAACATCATATGGCTTTTTTTCCAGGTGGTAATGCAGGTATGGCGGCAGCCTACACAGCCAGAAAGATGGGCGTACCAGCCACCATCGTAGTTCCCTCATCTTCTCCTCAGCTGGTCGTTCAGAGACTCCGGGATGAGGGTGCTACTGTCAAGATTATAGGCAAGGTAAAGTATATTATTAGATTTAAACAACAATTCTGTCATTGTTTTCAACCATTAGAGTAAAACCAAACACAACGAGATTTAGAGAGAAATGAAGTGGAATCTTCCTCTCATTAGGTCTGGGATGATGCCAATGCAGAGGCTCTCCGACTGGCAGAGACTGAAGGACTCACATTTGTTCCTCCATTCGATCACCCTCTGCTCTGGTAGAAACATTCATCACAATTAAAGTTTCCAGTTTCAACCCCAAAACTGGCTTTCTGCAATACTTTCCTCCAAACTGTCCCTGTGTCTCCCTCCTCATGACGCACACCCAGGCAGGGCCACGCCAGTATGATCACGGAGGTCGCAGACTCTCTGGGTCCCGGCGTGAAGCCCGGAGCTGTGCTGGTGTCCGTCGGCGGAGGGGGGCTCCTCTGCGGGGTCGCCCAGGGCCTGAAGGACGTAGGCTGGACAGACGTACCCATCATCGCCATGGAGACGGTGGGGGCCCACTGTTTCAACGCGGCGGTTAAGGCGGGGAGGGTGGTCACCCTGGATGACATCACCAGGTTAGAGGTTAAAGGAGCTCAGATGTGTTCTGTGGTTATGAATGTGGCCGCGCTGAATTGATCCTCTCTGTCTCTCCACAGTGAGGCTAAGTGTCTCGGAGCGAAGACAGTTTGCAGGAAAGCTTTCGAATACAGCCAGTGCAGCGAGCTTACGGTCATCTCTGAGCTTGTGACTGACCAGCAGGCTCTGCAGGCGGTCGAGACATTCCTGGGTTAGTGTGTTAGTGTGTGTGTTGTGTCCTTGAAAGTGCATTTTAATGTTCCTCTGACAGGTAATGGCTTGTGAACTGCCCAAATATCCTCCTACTCTAAAGAAAATGATAATCAGCCTTACTTTTTTATTTTAATTGGGAACAGCAGTATGCAGTTAAAACAACAAAAGAGCTAATCTAACACAGAAGAAAACACTGAATTTGTTAAAAAGCTTATTAAGACTGTCTGATTGTCATAAAAAATAGATAATGCAGACAGAATTGTATAAAAAGTTCCCTGAAACAGGAAATAATTGACTCAAAATTCATCCAAATCACTCGTTTTACACAAACGTCCGGAAGTGATTGTGTTCACTGTTTGGATTAAAGATGAAATATTCATAAAATATGTAACTTAGTCAGGAGTCATCAGTTTACTAAATGATAAAAAAGGAAAGGTTGAGAACCACTGACTTCAACTCACTGTGGGTGTGTGTGTGTGTGTGCGTGTGTGTGTGGGTGTGTGTGCGCGCTAACTGCTTGTAGATGAGGAGCGTGTGTTGGTGGAGATGGCGTGTGGAGCAGCACTCGCGGCAGTCTACAGTGGATTTATACGCAGATTACAGGACGAAGGTAACTACCCTGACACCTTAAAAGATATTCAGCACCATGCTTCTGTCTGTAATAAAATCAGTTTCTGGATCCGTATTGGTTCCTCTTCATTTACAACTCCTCTGTATGTTGATACAACAGTAACACTGTGTCGAGATACATGACACCGTTTCAGTAATCTGACTCACAATTCATGTTCTGCATGTGGATCTGAAGATATTTTCAGACCACAGCCATGCCTGTAAGAAATGTTTAATGTTTAATGATCATGATGGAACTTCCTGTATATAGTAACTCCCTTCTAATAAAGGAGAAACTTGCTGTTTTAGGTCAGCTGCCGACTCTCTTGGGTCCCCTGCTGGTGATCGTGTGCGGTGGCAGCAGCGTCGACATGAAGCAGCTGGCACACCTCAAACACAAACTGCAGACATAAACTACACCGTGTGTGTGTGTGTGTGTGTGTGTGTGTGTGTGTGTGTGTGTGTGCAGGTGCATAGCAATACATGTGTCTCTGTGTGGCTGAGCTAAAAGATTGCATCAGTTCAGTGAATGATGTGTGGATGGATTCATAGAATAAAGCTCAATTCCTCAAATAAGAGCTACAGACATGTCTTCTAATTTTGAAGCCAATGTGTTTGAATTGCTGCTCATTTATGAATTAATGCTTCTGATATTGCAATTTATCATTCAAGTCACATAAAATATATAAACAGAATTAATTTCTTCAGTTATAAATTATTGAGTGAATATGTTTTAACCATGCTCAGCTCACTAAATTCAATTACCAGGTTTCCCCACAGGGTGGTGCCACACTTCACTATTCAGAAATCCTCTGGCTCTCCACAGTCTGAGTCAAGACACAGAAGACTTTATGGAGAAAAAAAGTGTTATCAAACAAACAACAAACATTTGTTGATGTGATTTAATCAGAAATTAACTGTACTTCAGCACTCTCAGTCTGAGGCATCAAGATATTTGTTGAAACTAGTTTCGTCTTAAATTTCATATTAATTTGACGACACTGCACCTAAATATTTGTGCATTTGAGTCACCTCTCTCTTTCTGTGAATGCATTTGCAGCCTTGGGTTGTTTTTCCGATGTTGAAATATATTTTAGATGAAAACCTTTCAGACTTTTAATGCTGGATTGTTTCGTGTCATTATTATAAATTTAGTAGTCTAGTCAATTTGTGTTACATGTAGGAAGGTATTACTATGGAAACAGCTCCTCACTGTCCTGCCTGCGTCAGAGAAGCCAGTGGAAAGTGTTGCATTTAATAACCTGTTGATAGTCTTTGCCTTCTGAACTCTCAGACGGTTGCATAAGATATTAAGTTCACAAAGAGAAGAAGCAGAAAATGGACTTTATGTTAACATTGTGATCACTTGCATTACATTGTCTATTAGAAAGCACCTCAGGATGATTTATTGATCAAAACAAAAGATTGTTTTTGAATATATAGCGTATAAGAAAGTGGAATGAAAACAGCTCCATACGTAACCTGGTGGAGGTGAAAACTGGAGAGTTTTGTGATGAAAGTAACTGTTTTTTAGTCTCTACAGTAAGTGTTTGGTTGGAGTGCCATATCCTGCAGTTTACATATCAGATAAAAAATAATTCATGTAAACATTGTCGCTGCTGTTTAGATTGGTATACTCATCAGTCTGACTTCCACTCATTAGGTTTTTTCCAGAGCTTTCAGTTACATCACATGGCCTTCATCAGTAGTGACCTAAGTATTGAACTTCAAACCCATTTAGTAAAAACATTATAGTATGTATTTGTAATTTTATGATATGAGAAAAAGCACGAATGACCCAGATAAACAAAAAAGACTATCGGCAAGAAGATCTACTTCTAAGTAGTTATTCAGTTAGATTCCCCTTGAAATCAATGAAACAAGGCGGTGGAAACACTACCACTTTTGTCCACAGGGGCGGCCAGAATCAACACAAAATGAAAGTTTCCTGTTGCTGCTTTAATCAATAGCGGGAATATGAGACTGCTGGTTTGAGATGAATTTGGAGTCTTGACTCCACTTGACAAACTACATCCAAAGACTGTACTTCTGTATATCTGTAATCTTTATTGGACCTCAATGGAAATATCTGTTGGACTTAATTGTGTTATCTGACATCCCTGTGTGTGATTTAATTTCCTCCCCCTCATGTCAAATACTAAACTAAAGATAATGTTTCCACCTTTGCATCACTTCTACTTCATACTGCAGTTATGATGCTCAGTGCTGACAGCCCAAACTGGATGTAAAGTTAGGTATTATGTGTTTTTTTTCCCTTCACTCCCAAGATTTTTACAAGATGCGATCTTCTATTCAGTTCTGCATACACCAGCAGCTCGCTTGTTTATGGAGGCAAAGACACAACTTTCTGACCTCAGAGTCTCTGTTGAATCAGTTATTCTGCTCTGAGTTGTTTGCCTTGAGCAACAGGTAGTATTCCTCACGCCTCCAGACTGACAGTATATACACTGAATGTTGTAAATATTAAAGAGCTTAAAATCTCTTAGCACTCACTAGTCTCCCATATGAAAACCTTTCCACTAACAAAGATATAGAGACTGATACATTGTGAATTTGCATTGTGGGTTGCGCACAGGAGGTGTCCCTAAACCTTTGTACATTCATCATGAATATATGTTTCACAAATTAGTTACACAACCCTGTGCACATGATGGCCTCCATTTGACATTTACAACATTTATAAAAGCATTAAGCATATTCTCAGATGCTTGTTGCTAAGCAATAAACACCCTTGCTCATTTGGAGTGAACACATTTAATGTAAACAAGGTGATATAAGTCAGTATATTGCAAGTTATGCAACGCCTCTCGTTCAGTCACAATGTGTGGCTGAAAAACACGTACATGGCTAGACCTGCTCCTCTGAATAACCAATGTTCCCAGCAGCACTGTAGCAGCGGTAGGCTGATTGAACTGGGTGATTCCCAGGAGCACTGTTGGTGTTCACAGAAAGGTCATACATGGAGTGAACATGACTGTATCGTAGATGCTACTCTCTCATGTCAGACTGTGACACACAACAGCCTCACAGTCCATTCAGAAGAGAACTGAACGAAGCTGTGCAGTCATCTGATTGCCTTTATTAATTGGTGATATTTACATGATCAGAAATAATCTTTTTCTGCCCTTGCATGATTAAATAATAGTTGGATTATTTACGTCCTCTCCCAACAATCTACATGCTCAGATGAATCTACCTGACCCACAGCTGTGCTCCCCCCTTTGGCGAGTGTGATTCGGGCAGCCTGCGGATGGAGAAGCTAATGGACGTGCCAGCCCATTTCTATGACAACAGGAAGGAGCTGCTTTGATGAGCCCAGCAGGGCATTTGAGAAGAGCTGCAGCTAAAAATAGGACAAAGTAAACAAGAATGAATGGGGAAGAGACAGAGAGGGAAACAGTGCATGTCTGTGAACATGTGTGTGTGTGTGTGTGCAGGTTTTACAAACTTCAAGCAGCGTGTTAGCTCCGTTGCTAACCCCATCTGTGTTTGATGTTAAATTTCCTCAAAAAGTCACGGTCACACTCCTTTTGGGTATCAGTACACGCTTGGAAGACACTAGTTTGATGAGGTGTTATATAACAACTTCAGCTATTCTAACCTGGACACGGTTCACCACAGCAGGATATGAGAATGACACTATACACACTGTATTTAGTTGATTTCTGTACTTTTGACCCTGTATTTGTTTCTAATTGATAATTCATGTATGGATTGCTGCTGGGCTAAACTTTCATTTAAAGCCAATCTAACATATTTTGGTAATTTGTTTTAATTAAGTTCAATTCAATTCAATTTGACCCCAAGAAAGTAACTCGAGGCAAACAAGCCTGCAAAAGTACGCACAGACATTTCATTTACAGATATAGCAGTCTAAAAATACAAATATGTTATAAAGAGTTGAAGGATTAATAGCAGTGGCCAGTGCACGGGCCATCAATGTCCAACAACACAACGGCACATTTAGCCAAAAGAATACCAAAAAGTCTAAATTGAAAGTACATTTATTCATCTGTACACGTCGGCTAACATCCTGCTTAAAATTAAATACAGTAAAAACTTAATTTCCATTGTAATTTAGACTGTAAGTTATCATGGTACATACAGTACATCATCAGATACATTTTGTGTCTGGATTCACTAGCAGGCACTCACTTTACTATTAGTCCAAAACATGAGGTTGCACACATTTTCTGCTCTTCAAATAATTCTCCTGCAAATTCTCAATTTGAAACTTGTGATGTTTCAGACTGCTGGTTCCCAATTATGTTTATCTTTCAAACTTTTCTCTAATCTTTACTTCTTTCTGATGAAATTCTGTTTACCTTTTCAGACCACTCAATTATTTATATAATGATATAAAGCAGCTTATAGACATGCAACCCATGACAAGAAGTCGCAAGGAGATAATGCTTCATATTGAGGGGTTACAGGCAAAAATGTTGAAAATGAGATAAAGTAATGTTGAGTAGCTTAAATTTAATTCAATTCAGTTTTATTTGTAGAGCACCAATTCATAACAAGAAAACATTTTAAAAATCTAGACCATACTAAAATGATTTACAGAGACCCAACAGTTCTTGGCAGCGAGGAAAAACATCCTTTGAGGCTTGAAGATGTCCTAATAGTTGTATTTATTTATTATTAGTGAACTCTTTGAGTCTCTGAGTAAATTAGAAGTTAACGACACCTCCAAATGTTGACATGAGGGATGAGATGGATAAGTAAGAGCAGAAATATCACACATCATTTTGCTGCACTCATAAGGTGAGGACACTGTGTAGGATGCTGCCTAGTGAGCAGAGTGCATTTGACAGCTTTCATGTAGGTAATGCCACTTAAACTGCATGCCAGATTATGTTACAAAGAATTGCTCAAAGTATACGATCTCCTGTGTAAATCCCACTTTAAAAGCGAGGCAAATACTGTAATACACAGCTCTGTTGAGGATTCTCACTCTCAGAGAGAGGATACAGAGATTTGTGTTACAAATGCCTCAATTGGGTAACATTTGCTCATGTTTTTGACAGGGAATCACAAAGTAGAGCTCAGCAGCTGCTGTATGTATCCATGGCAACCTGATGACGGCATGGGAGTCTAATTTGAATCTCAAAATGAAAGTTAATAGATTTTATAATTCTATTGTAACAACCGTTTTTTATAAACATTAACACAATAGAACAGCTGCGTGTTTTCAGGGGGCTGAAAGAATGCACTGAAATACTCAATATACATACACAATGGACTGTGCAGTATTTACACTGAGAGATAAGCACAAACAGGCAGTAGCATTTTGCTGACTTACAAAGATAGCAATAGCAGGATAAGCTTAATTACAATTTGATTGGATAGAAATGAATGAAGGTTTAATGAACCTCAACCGGAAACAGAGTGACTGCAGCAGCATGGAGCGATTTAGATAAATACAGTGCGCGGAAGGCAATAAAGTAATAACAAGATAACACGTGCAGGTTATGAGTTGTGTTTGTGTTGTAGTATTCATGCAAAAGGCAGGTGTAGACAGGGCAAAGGTAAAAACCATTACAAAAAGCTCACACTGAGCTTTCCTTCACAGAGGAGTACGATACTGGGGGTGTACAGAATAGAAAGCCATATTTATATATACTTCTTCCTTCATGTTTTACTTTATCTAAACTTCAGGGGGAAGCCCAGCAGCTATGGAAAACAACATAATGAGGATGGAACAGATATTCTCATTAACAAGACGCCTGCTGCCTGCTGTATGAATATTTAATCCCAGTGCTGTATTTAAGACCTGACCTTTAAGAGTCGCACAACAGCGAAACAAATCACTATCACATGCTTTCACATCCCTAATTATCCTATTTATCATAATGTACAGGAGTTACATGGTACTGATGTGTAACAATCTGTGTTATTGCTGCACTACTCTCTCCCAGAATGCTTTTCATTACCTCCAGAAAAGGTCTGTGGCAGTGACAGTGTATATAAGGTCTGTGCTGATGGAATCTTCCTGTATGACTGCCAGCAGGGCGAGTGTAGGCAGAGGCTCTTGTTCTTTGCTTCTGAGGGGCTGACACAAACACTTACTGTTGATTTTCAGAGCGCCAGTCTGTTCTCAGGAATCAGAGCTCTGCTGGTTGCTTTTCCAGCCGTCAGCAATCGGGGGATGATTAACAACTGCAGGTAGTGGGTGAACTAGCAGCACTGAGTCACATGAAGTAGGACAGAACCACAGCTAAAGAGAGCTGAAATTGCCTCAAGTACATATAGTAAAATATGCCATAAAATAATGCTTCTACTTCTTACTTCTAACTCACAAAGTCTGTTAAAGAAAGAAAGATTTGCTAAGCCATTAAGAGACATAAAGACATTAGCAGAAGGAGCATTATCTTCTAATACTGCTTAATATTGTAGCATAGCCTACTTATAAATAATCTTTGTTGTTGGCTGAACTATGTATCTTTTTTAGTTAGCATCATTATTGAGCTGTATTAGCATTAAATGCTATATTAGCATTTAATTCAGCTTAAAGATGTAGTTTAGCGGAGCTAAATTAACTTTCAGGTTTGCTAAACCAACTTCAATTATTAGAATAATGTAAATTAATACAGAAGAAGTTAGTTAAAGGAAAATGTCTTCTATTTAGGAGATATCACAAAAGTTAGGTTGGCTGAGCTAATTTATTAAGATGTATTAGCATGTTATAAGTATATTAGCATCTTAAATTCTAGTGGTAAGTACAGGCTAACAACACTGCTTCATTGTGACAAACATCACACAGTATTTAACATTAGTTGTGCTACAACATAAAAATATGAACACAATATAAAAATTATGTCTACAAATCATATTAACATCTTATACAGTATAACAATGTAGCCACCTTAAATTAACTTTCCGTTGACTTGCCTACTTTAGGCTACATTATATCACATTACATAGGCTAATGAATTGCATTAGCATCTTGCCAATACAACCAAATTAACTAGATGCTTTTACTAAGTATTGACACAGATGTAATAAAGCTTTTAACCTATCTTAGTAGAATTAAAGGAACCTGGTGTGGTTCAACTATTGCTATATTAAATGTTAATAGACCTTTACTGAGTTATGAAAGGTGTAAGTTATGTTACTGTCAATGGTTCAGGCTATGTAATATATTTTCTCCTAGCTGTAAATTATGGATTAGATATCCGTACATCGCTTGTTTCAGACACTCCGCTTCCTGCCCGGTGTTTTATGGACTGTACCACACCATGAATCTCCCCCCGTCCCTCACTCTTGCAGTGGGCCGCTCCCCCTTCTTCACCGCCCGCTTTGGTGGAAGCCAAAACAGAACATCATGGCGATTGATGGTAAGTAGGCCAATAACGTCTCTCCTTCCCTCGTAATTAACTTCCACTGGTAATCAGACATGTCACAGCTGAATTCTTTCAACCAAAAAGTGCAAATGATTTCAGGAGCGTGGTGCTCGCTGTGGCTGGAATCAGTGAAAGTTATTTTTTAAAAATATATTTAAAGCGGTGTTTTTCCTTCGGTGTGTGTGAGAGTAGAAGAGCCGGGGAGGAGTGTTGAAGCGGCGGTCGCTCGGTGTGTCTGTAACGGCGGTGCTGAAGGAACAGCTCCGCTATGAGAACTGCTGCATACCGTTTATTTGAACGGAGAGTAACCGAGACGGTGTCATGTGTCTGCTCGCTGGCTGGTGTTTCTGCTGTGGATTTGATGTAACTCTGGCTGTGGTTTGGTTATCGTTGATAAAGCCGGCTGGCCGTTTTGTAGCCCCCGCTGCATGTCGGTACTTTACAACTTGGGTTAAAGGGAGCAAACCTCTCATTCAGTGGGTGCAGTTGTGAGGGCACAGGGTGAAACCGTGCCAAGTTTTAGACCAAGATCAGTGTGCTTTGGAAGGCTCTGGTCCGGCTTTGGAATATCTAAAGCATTAAGTTTAACAAGTTACTGTGTAATAAATACTTTCCTGTATGATGTTGTGTTTTAGCTGCTGTGTTTGTGGGCTGCACACTGAGCAGATATGTGCTTTTACTCTTCACCTGTCTCTGCTTATGTAACTTTGCAGCTTTTAAGCAGCTTTTGTGCTTATTTTATCTGTTTAAATATCATGATGCTTGCAGCGGTGGAATACATACTGCCCTTTAAATGTAACTGGAAATAGGCCATCACTAAGCTCAATGATAAATGACCTGCTTTGTAATAATAGAGAGTGGTAATCTTTTTTCCTTTTCAGTCAGAGTGAAAAATATCATCCACTTTTGCCAAAAGTATATATTTAATCGCTTTGTATGAAACAACGCACTCGAGATAATTGATGGTGACCAGGATGAAACACCGAAATGCGGTTGGATATGAGAATATAGGGGTCATTTTTATATGCTGATGTCTTCGGGATGTTTCCCAAAATAAATCAGTGTCAGTGCTTTAATTGGTCTGTTGTACATGGTGTGATTAGATGACAGGGTTTTAAAATGTTAAAGTCACGCTGCAAGATTTAATACATTTTTTCATAATGGAGTTATTATTATATATTTTTTCATAGACGCCACGGTCTGGGGGTCTGGTCCGTTTGTTGTTTTTTGGGGTTTTTTCTAGCTTTATTTATAAGTGGGCAGTAGAGAGATGACAAGAGGTGAGTCAGGAAGAGAGATGACATACAACAAAGTTTCCTAGCCGGAATCGAACGGGGGGATGTTGTTATCACAGTACATGGTATGCATTTGAACCACTGGGCCAGTAGGATGCCTGAAACCTGTAAAACTTTACATGTCTTTGGAGGAAGAGGAAGAATAATAGGCCAGGAGGAATACAGGACAGCAGAGTTCACCTCTAGAAACCAGCACACTGCTGTGAACTATCCAGTTCCTGCTGTAAACTAGGCAAATAGACCAACCACCATGTAGCCCAGGGCCTCGGGGCTTTGTTAATAAGACTAAACACTGTGAAATTCAGAAACACATGGTTCAATATGAGAATCATCAAGTGAAAACAAATGTTGAACTGAATGCCAGTCACACCTAGAGTTTGGTTTCTTTGGTATGAACCATAGCTAAAACTAACTTTACACTTTTTTTTATCAAGTGATCCAGGACTTCACTGGGCAGTTTTGCTTATGTGAACATTTTACCATTGAAGGGAGCTGCTGTCTTTTCCCCTATCTTTACACAATGAATTATTTCCCCCAAGACTGAGTCTCTTTCTGCATGTTGGGGGAAAGCACATAAAGAAATAGCTGAAAAGGAGCATCTCATAACCACAAATTTTGGATCAGGATTTCACTTTTAATAAACCACAACAAAAGGTTGGAACAAGTGCTACGAGAGGCAGCCCTGCATTGCTTCATCTCACCCTGCCTCATCTGTGGCAGTCTCACTACCATCAAACCTCCTCCAGTTTATCAGACAGCCACACCTCGCTTGAGTTAGATGCTCATTCTACCCCACCCACTGACCTCAACTTCCCGCCACATTAGTCAGCAAAGTGGCGTTTCCTGAAAGGCCATGATTATAGAGGCCCCAGTCAGCGATATTTCACCGGAGCTAGTTGGCCCCGCTGAGATTTATGCAGCAGCTGTGGGGCTGACTGACACCTGCAGCACCCAGAGGCCGGGCCACCAACACCAGTGGTTCTTTCTGTCTGTACTTGTGACGTTAGGTTGGATGAACATCATGAGGTGTCACAGGAACACTTTGTTTCTGCCAGACATTTTTAGAGCAAATAATTCATTTTGATGTTATGATGTTTTATTGTGGCTGCGTGAATCAGCGTTTACTAGTAATTATGTTGTTTGACAGGTGCTATTATTTAGAGTGCAACTTGCAACATTTAGAGTTTACATGCATCTAAGTACAGCTGCTGAAGTTCTCTGCAGTACAGCTACAACAATTATTTTCATTATCGATTAATCTGATAGCGAGTTGTGTAAAACAAATGGCCATCACAATTTCTCAGAGCCCAGCGTGGCGTCTTCAGGTGGTTTGCTTGTTAAGCCGACAATGAAATATTACAAAGACAAACAGAAACGTCTCACATTTGGGACGCTGGAACAGCAGAATATTTGGCATTTTTGCTTGGAATTGCTGCTGATCATTTTTCTGTCAATATCAGTTCATCATTTCAGCTCTAAAGCTAATGTTTTACATACATGATTGGGAGATAAAAGAAGGAAATATGATGGAAAGTAAAAAAGCATTGCATTAGGTTTAAAATTAGGATGTCTGTGACATAAGGCAACAGCCTCAAGCGTGACCCACAAATTCTAGCTTGCTTGATGCCTCAAGGTTTATGTTTTAGCAGCTATTTACTTTAGGAATGTGATCAATGACATTGGGTTGTGTGATTGAGCCTGTTTGTTTTGCTAATTCAGACTGTGCGTTGTCTGAATCATCAGCTTAAAACTTACCATTATTAATGCATGCTGCTTTAAATACCAAATATATCAGAGCTTCTTAAGCTTTCTTAATTGGATATACACAGCAGGCTCTCTGGGAAAAGATCACTGAGTGACTTAACTAAGCTTGCGTACATGAAAGCTTTTTTCTGTCAATTGAGTGACTGCAATATAAACCAAAATACAGCTTTTAAAAAGTTAAAAATTGAACTGCATCCCAATTTGTTTTAAAAGATGGAGAATTTCACAGAAATGTTATTCTGTACATGTTATTATATTAACAGTGCTGGTTCCGGGGCTCAGCCCCGGGACTGAGCTCCATGCATCAGCTCCTGTGACAAGCTGTAGACAGATCGACCGGAGGCCCAAATGGATTTCACATATCCTGGTTAAGCCTGGATTTCTAGCCAGCAGATCGAAGGCAGCCCCATCTCACTTCGCTTGGTTTTCTCAGTGTGTGTGGTGTGTATGATGAAGTCTTGTCGAGTCCTGAGCTGGTGCCAAGTACAGAGTAGGCAGCCCAGGAGGTGTGTTTAGCTGTGGAAATATTATGTGTGGAAATTACAGCAGCAGAGAAGCTCTTCGTGCTGACATTTTGACAGTATCTTTCAAAATCTTACTGAAATGCCTGCCGGGTCATTTGTCCTCGGGTGCCTTTGTCAACCAGTTTAGCTAAATCCAATGAGAAATGTGTGAGTGTCTTAGTGGTGGATCACATATGTTGTTTAGACTGACAGAAATACAAACAGTACACGGTTTTCTCGAAACATTAAGGCTGTGTCTTCCATGAACCCTGATGCTTCCTGTCAAGGATTTCTCAGCTTCTCTCCCCTCCTCCTCCTCCTCCTCCTCCTCCTCGACATGGCTGTGTTTGTTTTGGAGAGCGAGAAACAGGATATGAGGCGATAATAGCTAATATGTCTTCGGACCATTTGAGGCAACGTTTGCTATGACACATTGCAACTGCAATAGAGCAATACATTACTTTCAAAGTGAAACTAAGTGAACCTGCTCGAGCTGTGGGCCATCAATCAAACCAGGAAATTTCAGTGTCACACAAGCCAACAGGCAGTGAAGAGGCTGCCATTCGAAACTTACAGTGACAGTCTGAATAATTTATGGTACTTGAAATTAAAGCTGCTCTAATCAATATTTTTCTATTATATTAACACTGAAATGACTACGTATAAGGTAATAGGTGTTGCTCGTATTGACAAACCCACAGAAAAATCTGTAGTCTGCAGTTCCTCTCAGCTCTGTGGAGCATTTTAGCATTTTCCAGCTAATTTTTTTAGCAACTTTAGCAAAAAAAAAAAAAAGCTCTGGTAAATCCACTAGGGGTGTAAGAAAAAATAGTTTTTTCTATTTAGGATGTAATCATTTATTCATTGTATGTACCTGAGGTAGAGAGTAGAGCTACATGTAGGTCAGCAGGATTGGCACTGTATGCTGAGAGTCTCGAGGGCCTGAAGATGATGGATATTATCTGTGGAATCTATAAAACAGATGAACCTAAAGGGATGACTTGTATACACGATCTCCTGTTGAACTGGACCCAGAACTCATTCTTTAGTGCAGTCTTAGACTCGTCTCTTTAACTGCGTGTTTGCTAATGTTGCTCAGTGGATTGCTTCCAGCACTTTTCTGCTCTGGACCTCAGAGGTTTGATCTGTTGAGGTTTTGATGAGAAAAAAGAACAAACACTCACACTGTGCTATTAACCCATGGGCACAACAGACACAGTAAGATTGATTGCACATCCACTGCACTGACTCAACAACATTTTTCTCTGTATATTAGATTTTTCTGTCATATCAGGGCTTGTCTGGTTGAGACAGAGCAAGGGTTTTTGTGCAGTTTACTTATTGATCAGCTCTCCAGTTGACACATGGCAGGGGATGTTGGGAGTTGGATTGCAAGAAACAAAGGGACATAAAGAGCTCAGAGAGAAGAAAA